TGTTTTGAAATTTGCTGCATGATGATAAAAGAAGTAGTGAACCAGCTTGGCTTCTAGCAGGTGATGACTTGAATTACAGTTGTGGTGAATTGAGTCCTTCCATTTGCAGGATGAAAAAAAGATATTTCCCAGTTAACGTTCGCATAAGGCACGTCAATCTACTATCACGATTAAATTGTTGCAAAAGCTACCACAAGTACTTTAGGGAGTGGAGTGTTAAATATTAGCCTCATAGCCAGCTAAATCAAACCAATTAACAACTAGTTCTTGCATGTGTGCTCCACTGGATGGCTCGAATGAACCTGAATTCATCACTGGACATCATGCGAATCTCCGTTCACAACTAGGAATAGTGGACAGATTATATCCATGATCTCAAATGGATTGCTCTCATACAAATTTTTCCATGACTATTACGTATATGCTGATCATATACCCTTCTGGTACCATGAAAAGTATCCCTAGCCTCTTGAAGCATCAAGACCAAAATTGAGTGCACCTCACCTTTGGGCACGGTCTAATAATAATTATTAAAGCACTAGATACTCCGCCCTCCCACCAAAGTCTAGGGATGCTCACAGGTTTGGTAGTAAAAGATTTTTCAACCCTCACCGTATCTCTAGTCTTCAAGCTTATAATTGTGACGATCCTCAAGATGAAGATTTATTTCGTCCTTCGTTGCCAATCCAAATAATAAAAGTTGCCTTCGGGTATTGACGCAGTTATAAAACCTGGCAGTCGCAAACAGCAATTCCTACTCAAACTGAAATATCTACATGGAATTATAAAAAATGTTACGAGCTGTACCACTGAGATTGTAATGTGCTCAGGGTCTTTTTACAATAGAGCCTTTTGTCCGCCACCAGAAACATCAGTAATCGGAGAACGGTTTTTTCATCACTTCAAACCCAAAACACGTCAAAGAGAATAATAACAGCTCTTTTATTCGAGACATCCTTCATCACACTAACTTAGATAATAAACAATCGTGTTATTATTGTTTTACACAAACTTAACTCTCCAAGAATATAATATTATTATCATGCGTCTAACAATTGTTCAGCTATCATCTTTTTTCAGCAATCGTCAAACTATAGTTTATGTCGTGAGCGCCAGGATAAACATGTTGTGGTCTTGGTAGAATAGAGATCGAAGAATAACGTTGGAAATACGAATCGTAGTAGTTGCAGGCATATAACTGAAACCTCACAGATGATTTGCCTAATCCTCAATTAAAGCTGGAGTGAGGCAAACGAAACGTTCTACCACATGGACATGGATAGATTGAAATCATCGACATCGCCATCACTATTTACTAGCCAGCAACTCCGTATTACTTTCTGATGTTATATCTTATCAACGCTCGTTCAATCTGTAGTAAAAGAACAAATTTGGATATGTTTATTATGAAGTGATGGAGTACTAGGTCAGGGCGGAGGACTCCCTATAAATAGAGGTGCTGTTTCGTCCTCTGAGCTGTATGTTTTGATTGCCTGTAAATGCATGTAAATTCATGTGATATTCTAGAATCAAACAAATTTCAAGATTCTGTATGTCTTGTTCCAAAACCCTCAAACTCAGGTTCCTTTAGTTCGGTTGTTTTCCTTTGGTCGAATACATAGAGAGAGGGATCAGAAATATTTTCAGAATTATTCACGTTAGCTCCATCCCCACCATTCATAGGCACGGTTATCTGTGAGGAATTCAAGTTGCTTGGAATCTATTGGTTTACAACCCAAGCACTAAAATGTTTTGAGCCATTTACTGAATGCTTGGAGCTTAGAGAGTGAACCCAATATGCTAACAGCCCTATCAGACGTAATAATATTTTGGATTTTGTTTTCACCGTCAACCTCATCCTTTCATGATTTGAAGAAAAGAACCAGTATCAGCGGATAGCACATCAAGATACCAAAGAAACGAGATCTCAGCAAGTGTAAAATCTAAGGAGGCAAAACACCACCAAGATGCCTTTGACAGAGTGTCATTATGGCCGAATGAAAGATTACGTAGACACTCGAATTCGAGAAAAGCAGGGAATATTTTGTAGGTATCGATCGTATTCCGGTCAAACCACGGATAATTGCTAAACAATCTATTGAGTGTAACTCACCGCTTCGTATCGACTTCCTTGACCACGAGAGAGCATTTGACAGCGTGGACTGGTGGTTAACTTGATTATAAAAACTCCATCTCAGGGGAAGTACAAGATATAATGGACAGCTCGGATGTAGTTGGACGACTTGAACTTCTCAGATTACCTAGCTGTTCTATCCTACACACAGCAACGAATGAAGGTGAAGGAGGACAGTGTAACGGAAGCCTTTGCAACAGTGAACCTCAACATTTACATTCAAAAGGAAAGGATCTCTTTTGGTACTCTGGATGAGGGGGGGACAAGAAGGCTAAAATAAACATCAGCCAAAAAGAGCAAAGATTGAATACAAATAATTAAAAGAAACAAATGAAGCAGGCATTAGAGCTGATGGACGTAAAAATGTTAAAGGACTAGCAATAACGGCGTGAAAGACTGTATGAGATGGGAACATGAGACATTTGTACGATACGACAACAACCAGAAAGTCTAGTGAGAAGCAAGTGAGGCAAAGTAATCAACAACATTGAAGAACAGATTGGTAGATTAGTCTTAAGAACTCTGAAATCCACCAGCCCCACTAAACACACCCAACATAGAAGCAGCAACCACAGAACTCCTAATCGATGTTGGCCTACCAACAACTGAGGAAATCAGCATGGCTATCAGAAAAATCAAGAGCGGTAAAGCAGCAGGACCAGACAACAATCCGGCAGAGGCAGTGAACTTAGATGTTGCACCAACATTCCACATTCTCTTCAAAAACATTTAGGATGAAGAACAAGTACCATCAGATTGGAAAGAAGGATGCCTCATCAAAATATCAAAGAAAGGTGATACTAGCAATTGTGAGAACTACAGAGGCATCACTCATCTCTCACTACCAAGCGTGTTGTTAAACGGAATGAAGGACTTCGTAGACGCCCAACTTCGAGATCGACAGGCCGGATTTCGTAAGGATCGATCATGTACTGACCAAATTGCAACATTACGGATCATTGTGGAACAATCAATTGAATGGAACTCACCACTCTACATCAACTTCATCGACTATGAGAAAGCATTCGATAGCGTGGACCGGAAAACACTATGATGGCTTCTTCGACACTACGGCGTGCCTGAGAAAATAATTAACATCATACGGAATTGTTATGATGGATTCAACTGCAAAATCGTGCACGGAGGACAGCTAACAGACTCTTTCGAGGTGAAGACCGGTGTGAGGCAAGGTTGCTTACTCTCACCCTTTCTCTTTCTTCTGGTGATCGAGTGGGTTATGAAGACGTCAACATCTGGAGAAAAGCACGGTATAGAGTGGACAGCTAGGAATCAAAGGGACAATCAGGACATCGCAGATTATCTGGCTCTTCTGTAGCACACACAACAACCAATTCAGGAGAAGACGACCAGTGTAGCAACAGTGGGTCTCAACATACAAAAAAGGTAAAACAAGGTTCTCCGATACCACACAACATGCGCCAACCAAATCACTCTTAATGGAGATGCCTTGGAGAAGGTAAAAATATTTGTATATCTAGGCAGAATTGTTTACGAGCAAGGTGGATTCAGTGCAGTTGTGAAGGCGCGGATTGGTAAGGTAAAAGCCGCATTCCTACAAACGAACACCATCTGGAACTCAAAAAAACTGTCAACAAACACCAGAATCAGAATTTTTAATACAGATGTCAAGACAGTTTTATTGTATGGAACGGAAACTTGAAGATCTACGAAAGCCATCATCCAGAAGATACAAGTATTTGTTAACAGTTGTCTACACAAAATACTTCGGATGAATTTGCCAGACATTGTCAGCAAAAACCTGCTATGATCTAGATCTAAACAGATCTCAGTGGAGGAGGAAATTTAGGAAGAAGCGTTGGAAATGGATAGGAAACACACTGAGAAAAGCACCCAAGTGCGTCACTAGAAAAGTCATCACTTGCAACCTTCAGGGTTGAAGGAAAAGGGGAAGGCCGAAGAACACATTACGCCAAGAAACGGAGGTAGAAATGAGAAGAATGAACAACACTTGGACAGAACTAGAAAGGAGAGCTTAGGACAGAGCAGGTTGGAGAATACTGGTCGGTGACCTATGCTCCATCAGGAGTAACAGGCGTTAGTATGTAAGTAACCTAAGAACGCCCATGACCTAGTCGGGTAGAGAATCCTAATTGGGAACTTGTGCCCCAATAATAATAACAGGCGTGAGCAAGCAATCAATCAAAATAAATTCTAGCAGATGTCTTTTAGGCAAATGAATATGTCAAATTACTAAATAATTGTGAATTACAAAAATAATTCAGACTATTTTGAGAATTCCTCTTTACGTCCAGCTGCGTTTATGATTATTTATGAAGCAAGAAATGTAATAGCGTTTTATGTTACTCATGAATAATGCTAAGGAGGAATCATACTCAAATTTATTTTTATACGTGATTTATATTATTATTATTATTATTATTATTATTATTATTATTATATGATGGCTTCTTAAGACAACGTACTACTATGAAAAAAAATGGTTTTTATTAGATTAAGTATATTATATGCATTTATAAATAACTTTTCGTCGCATTATGGTTATGGCTATGTACTAATGATAATAATTTTTAATATTTATATTAACATTTATACTTATTTTGGTGATTAATTTAGCGTAATGATATAATACTTCAAGCTCGTATTCAAGTTTTCTTCTATAAAGGGTAGACTTTATGCATACGTTCTTTTGATTTGCTGGTAATAAAACATGGTTATCGTTAAAGCAAGGAGTCTTTCAATACATTGTCAGCTAACGAAAACTTGTAAAAAATGAACATTCATCTGTGTTATAATGAGTTGAATATAGAATTGTAGGGTAGCGTCACAAACTTGTTCATTTGTTTCTGTCCAAATACCGAGAAGAATGACTGCTAGTGATTCAGACATCCGAGACTTACACTCAAACGTTCGTAAAGTACTTACTACGACGAAAAACCCTCTGGAGAAGCTTCGATGTCAATGTTTGTTGCGTGGAGCGAATGGCATATATGGATTCGGGAAACAATTTCGTATAATGGATGACGATGGAAGCAAGTCTGTATCCAAAGAAGAGTTCAAGAAAGGTTGTCATGATTTCGGCTGTAATTTAACTCCCGAGGAGGTCGATGAGCTTTTCAAAACAATTGATAAAGATGGTAGTGGGTCAATAATCTTCGATGAATTTTTGCGTGCTCTACGCGTAAGTCTGTTAAATCATATAATGTTATTTCTTTAGCCTCCTATGTCAAATTCGCGAATAGAGGTTGTCAAGAAAGCATTTTCAAAAATGGACAAAACTGGAGATGGAAAAATAACGGTAATTAACCCCATTTGTATTACAATCAGCATTTGTAACCGTACAGTCAAAGATACCTGCCTTAGTAATGAAAAATGTCTCTGACAGATTGCTTGTTCAGTAGAATAAATTTAGCCTAGTCCACTGAAAAATTGGTTAGGTTATATACTTGTCAGTGTAGCTGGAAAGTAATATTACCAAACTCGTTTGTGAATAACATAAACTGATTTTTTATGTTGTGGCTGACTAATTTATGTGACTACAGTACACGGCACAGAAAATCGACACAAATGTGTTACTGATCATCTTATTCGGTTATTTTGTAGGTATTTTATGACGTTTGTTCTCGCTTAGTAGAATTTATCTAACATCTGGCTACTAGACAACACTGACTCTATGTACTGATTTACTTAAGAAACTAAATATCTCAAGAAGACCGAAGTATCGGTGTGTTCCACTACTTGTCAGCCAAAAACGGTTAATGCGGCTTCTAATTTTAGCAAGGGTGGAGTAACGATGGTAATTTGAGCAATCATCATTTGTAAGATCCTTTATCATAAAATTATGTCTATATAGATAATGCCTTACAGTTTAGTTTGTGAAGCCCTAGAGTTTAAAAACAATATTCGAATGACTTTTTAACAACTTCCTTTTAGTTGGATGACCTACGTAACGTGTACCAAGTTAAATGTGATGCCAAGTACATGTCTGGAAGAGCGACTGAAGATCAAGTTCTAAGAGAGTTTCTAAAAACATTTGAAAACGAAAAGTCTGTGGATGGTGTCGTAAGTAACTTGATTTGTGCATACTTATTGAAGTAATTACATCTTGCTAAACATTTACAATTTTATGTATTTCTGTGACGACTTTAGAATTTATTATTTCAACCCATTTAATCCAGTTCTAAAAGTTGTTCAGTACTCTGTAATTAAGACAATTAGTGCTTCATGAGTTGCTATAGAACAGGTGAAACCGTTTACTAGTCCATGAAGTTAACCGTTTGTCCACTATGGCTATCCTGATATTTACGCCTGCAACCGCACTTTAGTATCATTTATAGTGTGGCTTGCAGTCCCGTGTACACTGAAAGCCATTATACTAAAACCTTAATTTATATTTTGACGGTTGACTGGTTTAGTATTTTGTAACTAAACTTACGAGAAAATTTTTTCCATAATATTAATTGTAGTTGTACCACTTAGGTACCACTCAAGGTATTTTTGAATTTTTTGGTTTCCCGAAGGTTTAATCTTACGGGCAAGATAATTCCTGGCTGAGAGCGGTTGAAGAAAAGCCAATTTGGTCAAAAGTTACTTATTATTGCCGACGGTAATTTTTTACTAGATTTTTGGAATGTATTTTATATCTACGCTGCAATCTGTGAGGTTGATGGCGCGTCTATTGTGAACCTATGAACACGCCTAAAACACGATACACAATTTGATGTGCAGTTTGTTCCTATAAATTCAGCCAAAAAATTTCCACGCCCTTAGTGGTTATCCAGAAATAACCTACGACTGAAAGTTCTACCCAACTGAGAGTTCCATCACTCTGAATTATAAGTTTACTCATTTAAGGGAATCCTCAATGAGCACTTAAACCCCGAATAACTAAAATATTTATTGTGTCCAAAACACAGACTATTGCAATACTTGTCATCCAGAAACTGAGGAGTGCTGAATCGCGAAATATTCCGAGTCCCCTTCAATCTGCTAATTCAATAATCATATCAGTCAGTCGTACCCAACTTGATATCCAGTACACCCATCGCTCCAAATGTCCATAACATGTCAACATAGAGAAATGAAAGAACAGGATTACGATTTACAGTATTGATAATGGTAAAAAGACGTTTTTCTTAGATAAAGTAATCTAGTTCTCTACAATCAAATGCCTAAACTACGTTATATCGCAAGTCGTCAGACGTTTTTGGTAGTTTATTCTCTGAACTGAATGGTTTCATTCCCACACTATATGAAATTGGTATTCGTGTAAGGCTGTATTGAGTTATCTCATCGAATCGTAAATCGTATTTGAACTGAACGCCAGGTAAATGGGTCATTATTTTTTCAGGTCAGACAGGTTTGATAGTGTTGCCTAACCATTTTATCTTTTTTGATGGAATTATAGAATCCTTAAGAAATATACCTCTCAGTAAAGGTTTTGGAACCTGAATCAACAACACTAAATACTGAGTTTGTATTATTCACCGACTCTGTAAAACTAGAACTTTGTTTCGATCGGTTCGTCATAATAACTCAGAAGTTCAGGGGATGATTTTTGAGACTGCTGCATCCTGTGTTTTATGCTGTTTGTCATGCCATCAAAACTTATGTTGCAAATTTCTTGGTGTCGTCATCATACTATGTTTTCGTCTGAAAAAACATTGTATTATGGCATTTGTGAGCAAGCGACTAGTCTTCACTACCATTAACCCAATGTCCAAAGGGCGTTCTAACCTATAATTTGTGAATCAGTTTTGTCCTGGAATTCTTTTGACAACGTAATTGTTCCACAGAGTAATAACTTCGTAATATAAATTCATTACTTATTTTTCCGTTTCACTATTCCAGGTTACATGGGAAGAATTTTTGAATTACTATAGCGGTGTTAGTGCATCGATAGATTCAGATTCCTATTTTGAACTTATGATGTGGAAGGCATTCGGTCTGTAACATTCCCACAATTCATACATTCAATCAAAATGCTATGAGATATATAAGCGCGATTTTTCTTTTGGAAATAGCTATTCACTCCAGATATCTTTATTTTTAATTAACGGGATTATTGTACCAAACGTAATATTTTTGCAATATTTTATTGCTCAGTGTTATTATTGTAATTGCATTCTCTGCTGTAGAAAGCGAATTTTACTAAATTTTCATGTTTCTTTACAGAAACGCGGTTTTATTAATAATATTATCCCTCTTAAGGGCATATAAAACACGTAGTTTTATTTCTATTTAGAATTCTATTAGAAAATCATTCACTCTATGGATATTTGTCTTCAACTATTTGTTATATTTTAGTACTGTTCCATTTCCTTAACGTTACTGTTGTATTCTGCCATATATATCATGCTAGTTTTCATTTGAGTTCTAATGCTACTTTGGATATTCAAACGTAAATTTTCTGGTAATTGTTTTCGTAAGTAATTTTATGGGACGTTCGATCTGCATGGTTCTTTCAACCATTCCTGATAATTAACAACTGTAGAAAAATTATGTAATATCACTTTATCACCTGTAATAATAACTGCGCTGCATGTAGTCAGGCTTATATACAAAAACCGTGTTTTTAATAAATAGTCCTTTTTTAGTCAAAACAAACCCTCTTGGTAAAAACTGAAGTTCGTTAATCGAAAACTTTAATTAAATCAGTCATCAACACTAAGCGTGATACGGGTGTGTACTACCGTAAGTCGGCATACCACATTAGTATGAATGTTCACAACAACTGTGGATTGCTTGATCACTCATTAATTATCAACGTAGGATCTGATACATAAACCGATTGAGGTTGCCGTGTTGCATCATCACAGTGAGATGAAATCAAAAAGATGATGAACAAGGCAATCAAAACAGCAATAGTATCTATGATAGTTTGAAATTTCATGTGACGGCCTAAAAATGGACTGGGGTGAGGAAGTGCTTTCTCTTACCCTAGATTTAAACTCCCAGTAGTTGTATTCGGAGGACTAATTCTTGAAGCAATAGTTGTTTATATTATTTCGGGTATGCCAATTAGGCGATGTGCGAACTAAGAGTTAATGACTACGAACGAATACTAGATCTTGGATTGTCTGACTAGCTTTTTTCCAACCTCACTAGTCACCAAAACTGCGAGAATCATATTCCGTTCTGAATCTCCACCGAAAGTTCAGTAGTTGACGGTAGAGAAATCTGCCTCACTAGAATATAATTTATATTTTATGGTATTTGAATCCTAATCTCGTTGCAGTAATCAGGTAGACGACGCCAGACCCCCTGAATAGAATCAAATGGAAATTTATCTCAGATAAATAACACTAAAGTCTGCTTTCAAAAAAAGGAACTGTAATGATGAGAATGATGAATGAGTTGTCTAATATATAGCTATTAAGTACTCATCAGCTTCACATCAACTCATTGGACTTAATTTCTTGCTCCCAAACCGAAGAGGATTTATTTGAACACATGATTGGTAGAAAGAGGTACAAAGATATATTCCCCACTCGAATCATCGAATTTGTACGTGGTATGTGATGCTGCGCTTGTGCTTGGACAACATCGCAGGGAGACCGATGAGGACTTTCCCGGCAGGGTCACTAAGAAAAAGTGTTTCGATAAAGAGCGGACTCTCCACCCTCGACCGTACTAGGTCATTTACGGCAAAGAAGGGAATCTGAGAACCATATCACAATCCTGCAGAAGGATGTGGCAGACCTGATAGGTCAGTTTTGGGGATCTTTACTTATTATGGTCAAGCTTTTAGCTGTTAAATGTCGACTAGCGTTTGAGAACTCACCGTAACTTCGTAACTACGGTTGCAATCTCAGTTCACAAGGAAAATCATGAGTCCTCTGCTGGTAAGCACAGCAAACAGCTTGGCCAAATGTGTGAGGTGATAGCTTTGATAATCACCTGACTAACTGCGGCTCGGTATGAGCAACTACAAGAAGCGGAGATGCTCAAAAGCGGGGACTAATCAATTCTCCACCCTCTACCTTCACCCGGTTCTGAAAACAATCACTTCACGTAATTATTGCATTGAGCTGCGTTAAGTCAAAAAGTGTAAGTAAACTTAGGCTTTTCCGTGCAATGATCCTAATTTATGGTTGATGTTGGCTAACGGCTTGAAACTGATTCTAGATACATTCTTTCTTTAGCTTATTCTAAATTTCTAATCTGGTGTCATTTCGTATATTCCTTTCAAACCACATATCGTACATTGAGCTTTCTACTGAAGTTTATATATTTTTTCATGTGCTTCTCTTGTTAATTCATCTCGATATGGTAACGTAAAGCGTGACAATATGGACCGATATACATGTGTGTTATGTCCCTATGACGTTTACAATGAACAGATTATCTAGATTATTGGACATCAGAAGTCATTTTCATGAAGTCGGTTTACGAAAAGCAGCACTTCGTTTGTATACTGTGTACGTATCACGCAATTTCATTTGAAGATAATACTACATTCAGAAAGCCTTACGACAATCTACCTTTCTAACCAGTAGGGCGAGCATTATTTAGTGATTAGATACTTAGAAGAATTTCAGCAATGTAATTTTCGAGTCGATACTATCATTCACCCTCTACTTACAGAATAATGCCTAGTTTTTGCGGACAGTATATTAATATTGATGATCAAAAAATATTAATAAGTCTTTTGTTTGCAATTATTAACTTGATGTTATTATTTAATTATTCATTCAGTTTTACCAATCATTCATATAACTTATCTATAAATCTCTGTCCTCAAACTAAACATCAAAATTCTCGGAAGTTAAATTATTCGTCAATGTTTCTGATATTGGCTGTTGCTTGCAGTTGTGGAGAGTTGTTATTGAATGCCCATTTAATAAACTAAGGTAGATAAGATCTTCGTTTGAGGGCACTTGACTCATGCGTCCTATTTTTTGATAAGATAATAAAGAATCGGTTTGCTTTATCGCAGAACCCATGCATTTGGGACAGTTAGTGCTATTAGAGGGTTTAAAGTCATCATAAACCTTAGAGTTCAAATAAGCTTCAAGCTCATTACAGTGAACTGATTTTTGATGTGCTTCAACAATTTCTGGTGTAATAGTAGGTAACATGGAACAGTTCAGAGAATCATTTAACAGCTTTTCTGAATGTAAATTCTGACTAAAGGTGTACTGAAGTTGGTGCTGTTTTAACTGTTGCTTTCGTTTGCATACCCAGATCACTGTCACACAAACAGCTAAATTCGTTAGTAGTAAGAAGCAGCAGATAAAAGTTACTTGGTTCAAATCGAGACACGATAGCAGAGTACATTTGACTGAAAAAAAGAAAAAAACATTCTATCCACTAATTTTAATAATAGTTTAAGTTGCAAACAATTGATAAAAATTGTGATTGAAACTAAATAACGGATCTTTAGATCCGGACTCAGTCGTCATGTTATGACTTTGAGTTCGGCCTCATGTAAATTCACGCACTCTACTCCAGCAAACTACTTTCAAATCGACCAGTTTATCATAAACTACTTGAGCGAGCAATAATTTGATGGTTTCAGTAAGAAAGATTTTTACCTAAATACATCCTGTTTTATAGTTCACTAATTAATCGCTTCAATTCCCTCTCTACGATTCACTCAACTGCAGCTTTTTTTCTACTTTTATATACTCGTTACTTGTTTATTTCTCTCAAGTTTAAACACGGGCTAAAAGAAAGCCTACACAATGATCTCAAATAGTGGTGGGTAGCAGAAACAAGAGAGAGGGAAACGGCATCACCAACAGGTAACCGTAGACACTTGTCCAAACCGATCAAGAAACGGGCATTAGAGACCTGACCTGTTAGCAAGACTCTGTCGGAAAAAATTGGGACTAGTATTCATTCTCAATCCAGGGTATTAGATCGAGGAGCAGAGCAGTTTAACTGGCCTTCAGCCACACTTCAGTTGCCTACTATCTCCAGTCAACCTGAATGGCAAGTTGGTTCAAGTCATCTAACTCTTAATGAGGTTGAAAAGGCTATAGGAAATCTGAAGCGAGGGAGAGCAGCAGGACCGGATAGATTGACCAGAGATTTTTAAGGGTGGTGGTCCAGTTTTAGCAGTTAGATTGACTGAGATCTAAAGTACAATCTGGAAACTAGACGTAATCCCATCTAACTGGTCTCAATCACTGAGTGGCCCAGTCTACAAAAGAGGACAAAAGCCCTCTTGTAACAATCACAGAGGAATCAATTTAACTAATACAGTATCTAAAATATTGGCCTCAATATTCCGACGCCTAACTAGATCTTGTGAAGAACAAAGTCGAAAAACAAATAATACTACATGGATACATTTAGTTTAGCCTTACTTTTGTGGGTAAATCCACATAGTAAGTTATTTTGGTGGAGTGTATTTTATTTTTCAAATAAGATAATGACTTTAAATAATTCAAAGTATGAACATCATAGTTTTATGTAATACCGAATGCAGTTGTTCCTCGGTTTTATTGTTCTAGTATACATCATTCTTGATTGCTGTAACTCACTTAGCTGTTCCATCATGTCTGTTTAACTCACCATTCAGTCATAATAGCTATAAAAATGTTAATATTAATAGTTAAGGATCATTGTTGATTTAGGATATATCTTTACTGATAGTTTCTAAGTTATGAAGTAAATTAAACCCCTCTAATGACCATATTGAATGTTTACATGGTTACAGAGCTCTGATTCACAAACTTACTAGTATTTTCAAAGTTTGGTTTACATTGAAAATGTAATTTACTAAACCATCATCTTTCCTATTTTAATGATAAATTATCAAACTTACATTTATTCTAAGTAACTACTTTCTATACTGTTACATTTTCAGTTGTATGAACTGTATAAATGAAAATCAATAAATATGTGAAGTTTTTGAATAATTTAATGACATCATGAAACACCCTTTGAATCAAATTTCTCCTTAGTAAACCTAACGTAAATAGATGATCTGGAAAATAAATACGGGTAGAAATATCTTCCCAAACAAGATATAGTTTAAGGAAAGTGTAATCATAGCTCTAATTACTTACTTACTTACTTACGCCTGTTAGCCTCAACGGAGCATAGGCCCCCCACCAGTTTTCTCCAACCAACTCTGTCCTGGGCTTCTCTCTCCAATTCTGTCCAGTGTTTGTTCATTCCTTTCATATCTTTCTCTATTTCTCGGCGTAATGTGTTCCTTGGCCTTCCTCTTTTCCTTTTGCCTTGAGGGTTCCATGTGAGGGCTTGTCTCGTGACGCAGTTAGGTGCTTTCCGCAATGTGTGTCCTATCCAGTTCCACCGCTTCTTCCTGATTTCCTCCTCCACTGGAATCTGGTTTGTTCTCTCCCACAGTTCGTTGTTGCTGATGGTGTCTGGCCAACGAATCCGAAGTATTTTGTGTAGACAACTGTTAATAAACACTTGTATCTTCTAAATGATGGCTTTGGTAGTTCTCCATGTTTCCACTCCATACAGTAGAACTGTCTTGACATTTGTATTGAAAATCCTTATTTTGGTTTTGGTTGAATGTTGTTTGGAGTTCCAGATATTTTTCAACTGTAGAAATGCAGCCCTCGCTTTGCCAATCCGTGCCCTCACATCTGCATCGGATCCACCTTGGTTGTCGATGATGCTGCCCAGATATGTAAAGGTGTTAACGTCCTCCAAGGCATCTCCATCAAGAGTGATTTGGTTGGTGCATGTTGTGTTACATCGGAGAATTTTGCTTTTTCCCTTATGTATGTTGAGACCTACTGCTGCAGAGGCTGCTGCTACACTGGTCGTCTTCTCTTGCATTTGTTGTTGGGTGTGCGATAGAACAGCCAAGTCATCTGCGATGTCCAGATCGTCCGGTTGCGTCCTAACTGTCCAGTTGATACCGTGCTTCCCTCCAGTCGTCGACGTCTTCATAATCCAGTCGATGACCAGGAGAAAGAGAAAGGGTGAGAGTAAGCAACCTTGCCTCACACCGGTCTTCACCTCGAAAGAGTCTGTTCGCTGTCCATCGTGTACGATTTTGCAGTTGAATCCATCATAACAATTCCGTATGATGTTAACTATTTTCTCAGGCACCTCGTAGTGTCGAAGAAGCCATCATAGTGTTTTCCTATCCACGCTATCGAATGCTTTCTCGTAGTCGATGAAGTTGATGTAGAGTGGTGAGTTCCATTCAATTGATTGTTCCACAATGATCCGTAATGTTGCAATTTGGTCAGTACATGATCGATCCTTACGAAATCCGGCATGTTGATCTCGAAGTTGGGCGTCTACGAAGTCCATCATTCTGTTTAACAATACCCTGTTGAAGACTTTGCATGGTATTGAAAGAACATTGATGCCTCTGTAGTTCTCACACTTGCTGAGATCGCCTTTCTTTGGTATTTTGATCAGGTATCCTTCTTTCCAATCTGATGGTACTTGTTCCTCATCCCAAATCTTCTTGAAGAGGATGTGAAATATTTTCGCAGTTGCTTCTACATCTGTTTTCATTGCCTCTGCTGGAATGTTGTCTGGTCCTGCTGCTTTGCCGTTCTTGATTTGTCTGATGGCCATAGTGATCTCCTCAATCGTAGGTGCGCCAATATTAATTGGGAGGTCCGTGGATGCTGCTTCGATGTTGTGTGTGTTCAGTGGAGCTGGTCGATTCGATAGTTCCTTAAAGTGCTCTACCCACCTATCTCGCTGTTCTTCAGTGTTGCTGATTACTTTGCCTTCCTTACTTTTCACTGGTCGTTCTGGTTTACGATAGTTTCCGGCGAGCTTCTTGTTGTTTCGTACAATTGTCTCAAGTTTCCTTCTCTTGTAGCCTTTTCCGCCGTCATTGCTAGATCTTCCACAAATTTTCGTTTGTCAGCCCTGTTTGCTTCCGTGTATTCAGCTTGTGTCTTAACTTTCTCTGCTCTTGTTCGGCTGACATTGATAGCTGCCTTCTTGTTCCTCCTTTCTTCAATTTTTGCGAGAGTATCAACAGAGATCCATTCCTTGTGATGGTACTCCTCGTGACCCAGAACTTCGTGACATGTTGAAGTGATTGCCTCCTTAATCCCTTTCCAATTGTTCTCCAATGTTGCGTCCTCTCCATTGTGTAGATCCTGAAAGGCCTGGAACCTATTGGTGAAGGCTATCCTGAATTCGTTGAGCTTTACAGTATCCCGAAGAAAGGCCGTATTAAACTTGTGTGATGTTGTCAGCCCTGTTGTCCAGTGCTTCTTTAGTTTCAGTTTCAATTTGGCGATTAGCAAATGGTGATCTGAGGCTATATCAGCTCCTCTCTTGGTTCTCACATCCTCCATAGTCCTTCTGAACGTTTTGTTGATACAGATATGATCAATCTGGTTTTGAGTAGCGTGATCCGGTGAAATCCATGTAGCTTTGTGTATGCGTTTGTGCGCGAACAGTGTGCCACTGATGACCAGTTTGTTGAAGGCACATAGGTTTGCAAATCTCTCACCATTTTCGTTCCGTTCTCCCAGTCCATGTCGTCCCATGATGTCTTCATATCCAGTGTTGTCCATTCCAACCTTGGCATTCAGGTCTCCCATCAGAATCGTCAAATCCTTTGGTGAACATCTGTCGACGATTGACTGCAGCCTTTCGTAGAATTGATCTTTAACGTCGTCATTGTAGTCGTTGGTAGGTGCATAACATTGGATGACGTTCATTGTAATGTCCTCTTTCTTTGTTTTGAAGGATGCTTTAATGATCCTGCGTCCATGAGATTCCCATCCTATTAGTGCCTTTTGTGCATGTTTGGACAGCATCAGTGCAACTCCTTGTGTATGTGAAGCATTCTCCTCTTCATGACCAGAGCATAATAGCAGTTCCCCTGAAGCTAGTCTCAGTTGTCCTACTTGTGTCCAATGTGTTTCACTGATTCCAAGCACCTCGAGGTTGTATCGTTTCATTTCTGCCGCAACTTGAAATAGTCTTCCAGTCTCCCACAATGTACGAACGTTCCATGTACCTAAAAAAATGGTTGCTCTGGTTGTCAGAAGAGGCATCGGCCCCGTGACTTCCGAGGGAACTCGGCTTTCATCACGAGACGTCATAATTCTTCTTCCAACTCCCGAGGCAGAGTTAAAATGGTTTGAATTACTTTTTCTGGTTAGCGTTTTTTTGGCAAGTGAGATTTCGACGGAATGGGGTCGCCAACCCCATGTCCAACCCTCCTCCTTTACCCGGGCTTGGGACCGGCAGTAGCCCCAAAGGTTCTACTGGCGGAGCATAGCTGTAATGGACGATTGGAATGATGCAAGGACGGAGATAGAAGTAGAAAGAACACCTTTTCATGTGCAGATTTAATTACAAGCATATGATATAAACATGATTCGCTAGTTTAACAGCTTATATATCTTGGGTATTTCATAAGTATATCTGATAACAAATAAAGGTAACTATCATAAACGATAACATTCCGATAGATTAAGTCATTTTTATTTTTTTTCATTAATTCAGAATGTTCGTTGCGTGAAACCTAAATAAGTTCGTATAAATTTGTATACTGCTTGATAATAAGTAACGCTGAACTTGTTCTTTTAATAATTATTCATAAAGAATATCTGTAAATTTGAGATTCAATGCCATATAACTGAGGATACCAGTGAGTGATGTTTTTTTACGAGGTTAATTTGTGAAAAATTAGATTTAGTTGACATTCTAACTGACTGAACGATGCTTCATATAGTCGCTGTCAGTTACCGAAATGACATTATTAAAACTTTTATTTAAGAAACCAGCACTTAAATCTACCATTAAAAACATTAAATGGGTGAGTTGATAGGATTTATTTAATTAGTTAGTGCTATGTCAGCAAGTAGATTAGAGAAATGGTAACTTCGGCTGGGATATGATATTCTTATTGTATAATTAAAATTAAGATTATGATTAGTGACTTGAGATGTGTATCGGTCAGCAGGTCACAAAGCATAACAGACTCACTAGTTTGATAGTTTAAAAAAGGCATACTGAGTTAAATTCCCTTTTGTAGTCAGATGGGTGTTCATATTGCTGTTTGAAATTGTAATACGTATGAATGCGTTTGAATATTCTAATATTTAATTAAAACTACTTTCTAAAAATCTCAATTCATATATAATATCAGCAAATTGGCTTTAGTCAGAGTACTACATATATTGTATAGGCTGCACTAAACACAATGTATTCCTAAAATGTATATACTTAAACTCAAATGGTGGTTATATTTTACAGATAATAAGTAAGGTGTCCTTGAGGAACAGGAAAAAGTCGAAACATCCTCATTCACCATTACACAGTCGTAAAAGCGACTATTTGACGGATACTGAACAAAATTACTCTATAATGAAAACAAAATTGCTATCAAGTTCTCAGCGTTAAACGAAATCCATCGAGGAAAAGAAATAGTCTTCAAGTTATCAAACAACATTGATGTGCAGTTTATTTCAGCACCAGAATTTCCAAGTTTATCAGTCAAAATACGAATTAGGTGTCGTACCGTCAACATTTAGCAGTAAGGTGAATGTAAAACTTAGATGAAATTAGACTTCAATTAAAATTGTTAGTGCAAATTGTGCTGCCCTACTCATAATGGATATCGTTTGAAAGAGATATGGTGCGAAATAAGTTACCTATAATTCGCCATCTTGATCGTAAGCAATCACGTTCGCATGCCACAGCTGATAATTCACAAAGTCCTACAGTATACGGAAAAACATCTTTCGACATGGCGGCTCCGAAAGTCGTTTCAACGCTGGACGCAACTAGGTCATATCGCTATCGGCCACCGATGGAAATGTCCAATAGAGGACTGTCGCTCGTTCTGGGGCATAGGTCAAGATTCAGATCATGCTCTTGTGCGAACACGTATTTGTTTGGGACTTACTGGACGTAGGGAAGACACTGCAAATAAACCTGTTAGGGTTCCACTTAATGATAGCATAGCTAAGAATATATATCAGGAGCAACTAGATAAACAGTTGGGCAGCCCTATAAGCGATTCCCACCCTGAGAGAGAGCTTGGAATGACATCAAAAAAGCTGTGGAGACAGCAGTGGTATCTGCTAGTAAGGTAACCATAAGGTTAGGGAGAAGCCGTGGATTTCAGCAGCATCTACCGAACTGATGGATGCTCGAAAACTCATCCCGTCTGGCTCTGAATACGATAAAGAGCGTAGTCAGCTTCAGGATAGGCTGGCAAAAAGCCTACGCAATGATCGCGAGCAGTAGCAAGGGATATGGAAAAGGCAGCGGCAATAGGCAACACTAGACTATTTCGGAAAAACATGGTTGTTCTTAATTCATTCTCAGTGCAGGAGATTGGATCGATGGGCGGAGCACTTTTGGGACCAGTTCAACTGGTCTTCAGCCACACTTCGGTTGCCCACGATCCCCAGTCATCCTGAATGGCAAATCGACGTAAGTTCTCCGAGTCTTTATGAAGTTGAGAAAGCTATAGGGAATCTGGAGCAAGGGCGAAGACTAGGGTCTGACAGGCTTACTCCTTAGATTCTGAGGGATGGTGGTCCAGTTTTAACAGTTAGATTGACCGAGATCTTAGTTAGAATCTTGGAACTAGGTGTAATCCCATCTAAGTGGTCTCAGTCGCGGATTGTGCCAATTTAAAAAAAGGAAAAATATCCTCTTGTGACAATCACAGAGGAATCAGTTTAACTAATATAGTGTTTGAATTGTTGACCTCGATAACACTTACACTCCTAACTAGAGCTCGTGAAGAGTAGACTAGAGAAAACGAGGCTGGTTTCAGACCTGGATGTGGCTGTATAAACCACATCTTCATACTACGACAGATCTTGGAACACAGACACCCATTTACGCGTCCGACAATAGTAGTATTTCTCGATCTTAAAGCAGCATTCGACACTGTCGATCGTGAGGTTCTGTGGCAGTGTCTGTTATTAAAAGGTGAGCCAGAGAATTACATTAACCTTATACAAGCTCTCTACTCGAACGCCACTGGTCGAGTGATAGCCTATGGCGCACTATCATCGGAATTCCTTACTTCAAGTGATGTCCGTCAGGGCTGTTAACAGGGATTTAACATTATCATCATCTGACCTTTCGAGAGTAGACCTTCCGCCGAGAGACACGCTAGTTGACTAGAAATACGCTGATGACATAGTCCTATTCGGTGAAGACACTGACAGAATGCAAAGTCTTCTGACTGCCTTAAGCAACAATGCTAGCATGTTCGAGATGCGGTTTTCCTCTTCAAAATGCAGAATGTTGCTTCAAGATTGGGTTGCATCGGCACCTGAACTAGTGATAGGGAGTGAATTAGTCCAAAGTGTTGACCGCTTAACTTATCTTGAGAGTCTCATCAGTGCTGATGGCCTAGTGACTGACGAAATCTTAGCACGGATACAGAAGGCTCGATTGGCGTTTGCCAACTTGCGTCACCTATGGCATAGGCGAGATGTCCGTTTGCTAACCAAAGGACGAGTGTACTGCGCAGCAGTTTGCTCCATCCTACTATATGGATACGAAAAATGGCCGGTAAGAGTAAAAGACATTCGTAGGTTACTGGTTTTCGATCATATGTGTCTCCGAAGTATTGCCCGTATGTCATGGGACAACCGAGTAAGCAACGAGTCCTAGGTAAGGATGGCAGATTAATAGATGCAGTAGTGAAAACTCATCAGTCGAGGTGGTTGGGACATGTGTTACCAACGCTTAACCATCGAGTTATGTTTTGCGATATAGGAATAGCTTGGACGAAAGCTAGAGACGGCCAAACCAAAATGTGGCACAAATCCACGAAGTCACTGACAAGTGGACTGAGCCATGTTGGTAGATGTCGACTACTTGTTTGGGGCCCGCGAGATGATAGTAATTAATGGTTTGATATCTTGAACGACATGGCTCAAAACCGTTTGCAATAGCGCAAGTGCATCAATTCTTTGTTCTCTCAAACCCTAAAGTTCTCAATTTCTCATCACCTTGATCTCATTCCTTTAAGTTTATTTCATTAGATGCTACTTCTTAAATAATATCCTCGAACCCTAACCCCTCCTACTACCTCTACTACTATGGGATTTGAAGTGACGATTGCGTTTCTGTGTTAATTTTGTATGGCAACCTGAACTGTTGTACGTACGTGCGAAGGTCTACGTTATAAATGACTGACTGACTCGTGTTGACCGAACTGAAGTTGCTTTAGCCGAATTGTGACGTGTAATCTGACGTGATCGGAAAATTCCTCGACTACTTTTATTTTGTGATCATTTTAACGAGTAAGGATTTCGAAAACCGCATGTACTTAGCCATTAAAACGTAAACCATTTACTAACTTAGAGTGTTGATCCCGTATATTAGCACTATATACTATGCACGCCGCATGAAGACTTTTTACTTCATCGGGTGCTCTGAAGCTGATAGATAGCATATTTTTTGACAGCTAGGTTCTTAAGCTTTTGATTCACAATTAGGATAACGAAACATGAATTAAAGTTGGACCTATCTCAAAAATAATATGTTCGGAACACTTAAAAACGATTATTCTAGTGAATAATAACTAATTTCTAAACTAAGATTTTGTTTTCAAACTAGGTAGATTTTAAAGTGAACATGAAAATTGCTGATTCAACAACATCTTTACTCTATATTTAGTTTCTTAATCGAGTAGCGAGATTTTATTGATAGACAACTGTTCTGAAAATATACTGTTCAACAAGAGAACAATCCACATTAGGAACGAGATTTCAAACTGATGTCTTCAAGTAGGCATCAGAAAATGCAGCGTGTAAAATCTCTCAAGTTTGGCGTGACAAAGCAAATAATGGTTGTATTTTACAATATAAATAGTCTAAAGTACAGCATTAAATTTCATCCCAACTGTTAAATTATGCTGATGGGATTTTATAGTCCTAGGTTCAATTAGTTCAGTAGTTGAACGCACACATACACAGTACACACTAGCCATATGAATGTCAGTAAACGTCTATTCAGTAATTCTAAGCCAATATTGCTTGGCGCTACAAAATACTTTCGGATTAACAAGGTATTCATATTCTGGCCGCAATATATGTGCATCTATAGACCAGTCAATACTTTCAATAAATTGGAATAAATACACTTCAAACAGATACAAATTATTGAATATGAAATAACCTACTATGATGAGATGAAAGGGAATTTCTTATGGTCAGCTTCGTAACGAATAAATGATCAGCTGGTGACAACCTTATTCGATTGTTTGACATATCACACAAATCCTAAAATAAATACAAGCATTTAAGAATTCACTAATCAAGATGATCTGAGTAAATTGGATAAAAATATACTTGTGTTACATACTACCACAATATATTCTGTAGATATTGTCGTTATTATTTTATAACAGGTTTACAGAATGAAAAAAAGACAGATCGCAAGAATAATTCAAAGAATAAAATATCTCATTAATTTCGTTGTAGTACGTTTAAATAACTCAGAATTATATTTTAACAGTCAATAAACTACGATAAAGAGAAAGTAATCTAGCGGTAACTCTGTGCTCAAAATTCCACTAAATAATTCACAATTTTCGATAGACTATCAAATTAGAAACAACAAGTTTTGGGCTTTATTTTCTTAAATTGATGAATTAGAAAGCAAGTAGACAGTGAATCTGATCTGTAGATTGAATACACATTCCTATCCATTTGACTTTTCTATTAACAAAAGAAAGTCATTGTGTCTCTGAATAAGAAATAAATGGTAATACAGTGACGACTTTGTAGTGATTTGGAAAATTTGTGACTGTGTAGAATGGAAAGAATTACATTACATATAAAGTCTTCTTAGATTTCAAGTTTCTGGTTGGACAGAATAATTTAAGGGTTCGAAATACGAGAAATAACTGTTCACTTGACGAACTTGTAAAAGGGATGAAAAAGGAAATGTGATAACAACTGGATGATGATTGTGTAAGAGGATGATTGTAAATGATGACGGATTCAAAAATATAATATAGCAATCAAGACGAAAACATCTTGTAAGGATTGTCAAGGCCCTAGGAGAAGGAACAACTGTATGCGCTGCTTTTGCACACTAAATTCAGGCTTAGACTATCCAATTGATAAAGAGTCTCAGCAATGTACACATTTTTGATTTGATTTGTTTAACAACTTAGATTATTTCGAACCATGGTTCTGATCGAGCAGCATATCCAGACTTGATGAAAAGTTTTTGTAATGTTTTAAGAAGCGTGTGAAAACTGTTTGTTTGTGGCCAATGTAATCTGATACTCAAGAATAAGTACACTTAAAAATGTACGTCGGTTTAGCTTAAAGCGAGAGCTTATTCTGAATGTATCTCCTCTGCATGATTAGTCAACTGGAAAAGACTACATGATACTTCACAGAATAGAATCTTTTCCTACAGATGCTGACTTTTTCTGGAGATTTATGAAACCGTGTTTCTTTAAATTCCATATTCATGGATAAGAGATTTCAATTGAATTTTCAGTGACCTTTTAGGTTGTAGTGATGGTTTCAAGTTTCTATAGAAAGAACTAGGTGAATAGCCAGTTGAACTATTGTTTTTGACTAATCTAGAGGATACGAGCTCTCTTTGTGACCTTTTGAGGAACCTCTATATTAAAGAGTAAATGACTGAGTCCATAAATCAGCTGATCTGGTTTCATCGGCCAATGTCTGATCAAGTATACTTCATAATTTGACGTATATTACGCCGTTTGTATTCGATTAACAATGATATTCTAGTTAAACTACAAGAAACCCTCTTCAAGATTGTCAAGATTAAAAACCAGGCAGTACTAAAAGTGACGATTTTTGAAACCATAACTTCTAACATTCCTCAGTTTTGTACCTTGGCGACCAGATCCTTACTCCTAGAAATGGTATGAAACGGTTTTATTTTTCGTGTGTCCAGTTGAGACTGAAGTCACTGTAGAATTTACACAATTCGAAACAGATCGCTATAGTTAATTATTATTATCATTATTTTAAAATCATTACAATTTTCGATGATATCCGAATGAGTAAAAATTTGTATTTCTGAAGTTTGGTCACTGAATACTTGTCACTGCTTCATCATAAATAAATAAATAAATAGACGAAATAAATTTACACAAGTTTCAGTGATAAGAAGGAAACAAAGAATATTTTCGGTACAATTAAAGTTATAATAGGTTTGAACATGTCATATCATGCCATTTTTGGTCAAGGTGATTTCTGTGTGAGACCTCAAAACGCTATTTATGTGCATTATGAAGGGTAAGAAAAAGATGTAATTTGTGATATGAAGTAGCGGAGTTATTGTAGTTACATTATAGTTTACCATTCATTGCTCAGTTTATTTGAAACTATCAAGTCCAACTTATAGGTTGACACTATATGATTTTTTTTCATATGTAAGTGTAATGTAGGGGTAGATACTAATGAAAAACTTGAATTTTACTGTTCAGTATGATAAAAGTCCCTGACGTTTTTGGCAAATAGTGAAAACGCACAGTACAGTGCAGACAACCTATTGGTGCACCACGTAGTGCAAACTGAACCTGCGAAGTATGATGTATCAGGGCTGTATGCGGTCAGATTTACGTGCATGTGAGCAATAACTATCAGCTGGATTATTTGCCTAACAAGGTTATTGTATGTATGTTCACAATTCGGTGAATCATGACTGTCTGCAAATAAAAACTTTGCTATAGCGATTTATCTAAAATACTAACAGCCTATCATCAATATATTGTAGTGTTTTTATTTGAATGTGTATGTGAATCGCTTATTTCTCTTATCAGATGTCTAACTAATTTTGTCCGATTATAAATACTTAGTTATCCTTCATTATATTGAGTTAGCCCAATCGTATTCACTTTGCTTTAACACTTCTAGTCTACAAACGCGGACTTATGCAATAAATTCATCCAAACAAAGCCCTATTGGACTTCCATTACCACTGTCGCACAAAGGGGATTAACCGGAATGTGAGACACGGAAATTAAAGTGAAGATTTATTTCATAGCGTAATTAATTGTCGCTTAGCTCCCTCTTCTACTCTCCCTTCAATCAACCTTGTTTAGAGATAGGATCTGAATGAAAAAATAGATTCTATTAATTGACATTAATCTTATTCTCGTAAGTAAGAAATAGAGTTGATTAAAAAGTTCTTTTTAATTTAAAGTGTACTTCACAGATTAACCTTCACAATGAACTGAATAGTTTACTTTTAGGAAGAAATCATTTTGTTCGATTAGCATTCATTGGTCGGTATTCCTATTAATCCTCATTTATTTAAAACAATTCAACTATAGATCACAGTGAAAATAAACGGATATCATTAAAGTTCATCATTCAATAAAATATCAACTCCCTTTTATATTAAGGTCACTTCCTATTGTGTATTATTCACATTTTGTTTTCAAGAGTAAACTCCCATTATTTTTGTATGTATAGTTCAAATTGAGGAGTATTCATTCAATTTGTACAAAAGCATAGCAACAAAGGAAACGATAAACTAATTGCATTGTTTTGCGAACTAATAGCATCATTTCTGTAGTTTTATTTTTTTTTTTAATTAAAATTAGAAAATTTTAAATTACCTAATATATTCAATTGCTTATATTGATCATACTCTAAAACCATCGAAGACAATTGGATAGAAGTTCAGTTATGTTTGAACAGTAGAAAAGGAAATTATTTAGATAATAAAGGAAGTTGAAGTTTATGATGACACTAAATCATCATATCTGTTACCTTATAGTGCAAATGAAATGTGATTGGGTAGTTATAGTGCCAACTTACATACAGCACAACCTCATTTGAATTATCGCAGCTCAAGTAAAACATTTTTATTCATGTTATATTATAAAACAACCAAATGGACAGCGATCATTTTTGCATGAAACTAATGGTAAGTAATAAGTAAAATGAGACGCAATGACCTGGCTATTTTACACTTTCTTGCATCCTACATTCGTTTCACGCTGCAAATTAAGTGAAGAAATGTCAAAAGAAAACCAATTAAATACTGTGAATATATATATATATATATATATATATATATATATATAAATTTATTTTTTACCGTAATACTTACTTGTATTTTACTGTTGTCAGCATTAAATGCCATTGATGCATTTACGGAGGGAACAAGACAAATATAGTATATAGTATTTTGTTGGGGAATAATTTGAAGAGCTGGAAATATCTCACTTGATCGATGCAATGATGTATTGCTGTACTGAATAACAGCAGGGATATGACTAATAAATATGGTTTGATTATGATATGAATTCATTATACTTTCATCTGCAACATAATATCTAAATAACAGGAGAAATACATCTAAGTATGTAACCCTGAGAAAATTCTGTATTAAATACAAGATAATATGTTAGGCTTATTAGACTCCAATTATTTGGTATGGGTGTAGTGAGTCATTCAATGTCTAGCTCACATGACTTGTCCCACTTGTCTTTTTACCTTGTGACTTATTCGTCGCTAGTATTCATGTGTTGTGCATACCTACTCGCTTATATGTTTGTCTTATTTCTGACTATAAATTCCTAGTCATGCTTTATCTCTTAGAGTTGGCTCAACAGCCTTCTCCGATTCACGTATCTTCATTCGTTTTATTCACTGTTTCTCCGGTTCGCTTTGTGGTGTGACCCAAATAAACGTATTCATCACTTCGAGTTCACTTTCTGATTTGTAAACAGTCAGACGCTATTTAGTAACGATTGTCTGGACGAGATAATCACGAACATTAGGAACACGCAGTAAATCGACATGCTACAAGGGAATAATTAGTCTAAGTTGAAAGGTAAGTTTGATGTTCCCAATTATCACTAAACGTTATCGTTTTTGCCACATGCTAAGAGTTCGGTGTCTAACAATAAAATTTATTAACATGCGCATCAGGCAGCCCGATCCCAGTCAATGCTGAATGTAGTCAAGAGTAAAGAACATGTTATTCAATTAATTTGATTGTTATTATCATTCACCTCCACAAGTTGATCAATTCAAAAAGATTTGAAGCGATCTGACCATCATTTTTGTATGAAGACACCTTAAATATCAGTTTATAATCTTTATTAACTCTAGTTCATCTCAAAACATAAGACAATATATCTTGTTTACAGTGTTTGGCAAACAATTAAACGAGATAGATTCTAAAGACCCGTTCTTTGAAGTAATCTCATTTTACTGAGTGTTAGGTATAAACAGTTTGGTAATAACACTTTAAACAACCGGCAATAATTTTTTTCAAGTTGTGACTTTATGATGAGTGTAGATGGATGCAAACTCTACATCCAACAGAGTTCTATGCTATAAACTTGTAGGATAAGTATTTCTGACAAAATTTGTAACATACGGACACGTTCAATGCAGTCATACAAAGTCCTGAGTTTGGAAAAAAATACATGCCATTTTCATCAGGGTTTGAAGTCATTAAATTACTGTCACACGGTAGTTTTCATTATCTTGTGAAATGCAAACCCCCTTACCGCTTTTGTGTAGACAAACGATGTGGTTATAAAGTGACTAATATTTCACTGACTGAATCAAGGGATATAACTGTTTAATATGGTCTTTACGGTCTGTCTGTTAGTTTTATACGTCTTTAATTCTGTATTCGATTAGTGGGATATCAGCAAATTCATTGAACAACATTATTTCACGTGACATTAATATGTACCATATAGAAATAAATATAGCAGCTTACATAAAAATACTTTATCCTAACTCCAGTACTCAATGGAATAAATAAAAAGGTTAGTTTCAAAATATGATAGAATGAAACTCAACTATGTCGGATCGAAATCAGTTGCGACTACTTGTAGACTCTTTTATGTAAAGGCTTGTCAAAGTATTACAGGTGGTTAAGATTTATTTATCTTGCTAATGACAAACTATCCTTTTCTGTTGTTTTCTATTTGAACCGTATATTTTTATCGTGTTATTCAATTATCTAATACATTTTTATTTCTTCGAGATGTAGGATGTTTGACACTAGTTCAAGTGCTAATAATTCTAGCTATTTAGACTAAAACACGATGAAAGGTGCACTTATCTTACAATATAACGTTTAGTCAAATGCTTAAAATATGCTTCCAAGTACTAAACATACGCTTGCTAATCTTGATCAAACTCATGATGAGTTAAGAAGTCTCATTCAGAACAAATTTGTTTAAAGTCAACATGTAGCAGTAGACAATTTTTATGTGTTTGATGAATACTGCTCACTAAATGAATATGATTTTATTCATTCATTTGATGCCCTAATGAGTAAATTTGGTTGATGAATCATTAACATAATTCAATTCTATTGAAAGCAAGAGCGATTCGCAGATATGAGTGAAATCCAGTACTGGAAATCTTCCATAAAACATATAATTAAAGGCATTATCGAGGCAATTATCTAAGAGTTCACCTTGGTCGACAGAAACTGATTAGAGGTAATGGCTTGTCCGCCCAAAATGGCTGCCTACCGAATGTGATCATAGATTACTTATGGTGGTTATTAAAACTCCATTACTGAACTTCTGTAGTCATTTTGATAATAGCATTTGTATTCATTTTATTGATTGTTACTTTGCATGGAAAATTTGGAGCCGTGTCTATTTCTTGTCAAGTGGCTATTTTGTTTATCCGATAAGATCTTATCATCAATCTTTTCTATGATCTCACATGAATGCTGTTTGACAGCATCTAACATGCGCAGGCAAATTTTATTATAATCTGTTGGTTCCTAACTTCTGGTCTTCGTATATTTTACTGTCCAATTGGAACATGTGATACGTAGCTTTTTGAACAGACTTTCTTATATTGACGCACTTATCAATAATATGTATCCATAACTGTCAGATAAATGTTGATCGTTTTTTCAGATAACTTTTTTGAGATCGTTACGAACTTTTTCCGGTGTTTAATCTGTAATAATTACTGAGTTTATTGAGACACGTCAGCTATATGTATATATCATTACAACCTCATGAAGAGTCAACACGCTTAGCTAATTACGAGAACGTCTTTGAGAGCTACAAGTAGAGATTCTACCAATTGATTAACAAATTACTTTAACTTATTGTAAACATGAACGCAATCTGTTGATTGATCTTCGAATTATATTCAGTTTCCTATCTTCTTGTCCTCAGATAACTCTGTACACATAGTTCTCTAGTGTAGTTTTTAATGCAAAAAAGGTGATGTCATTAAGCTATGTTTTCATGCAGAACAATAAATTTAGTTCAGCTTGACAATATGTTCTATAAATTGGTTGCTAAACTAAACATCTGAATAGTGAGTGTCAGCAAACAGTGATAAAAAATAACTACACGTTATTAGTTCGTGTTCAGTGGAAAAAACTACAACTTACGCATACGAGTAATCAAAAAACTCAAAAAAAGAACCTACTTGAAGTGATAAAATGCCCGACATAAATGCATGTCAATAACTGACTTGGAATTATAGCTTTCCGGAAATTTGAGGCTTGCCACTGCGCACATTTTCGTACTTATGACAACTACAAATTAAGAAGACATTTTCTGTCAGTATTAAGTTGAAACACTTTTATTATTGTGAACTTTCAGAAAAAAATATCAAATTTCAGATTGTATTTCTCATGTTAAGTTTAGCTAACTATTTGGTATGAAAGCTTAATCAAGTAATAACCTAACTCATAATAGGAACTTTCAATAACTGTCTTCAAGTAACCTGGAATATATGGAAACCTAGTCCTTGACTATTTGAAAATGCTTCAAATGTGTTAGTTATTGTTTCATTTAATCTCTAAAATGGCTCCAACTACTATCGTGTTCTTGAACGAATAGGTACATTTTTATCTTGATAAACATGAAACTATGTCACGAAGACAAACAAAAAGAAACCTCTAATTACTACTACTATACACTAGAACACGACATAGAAATATTCACGTCATTGATTCACGAAATAGTATCTATTGCTTCAGCTGGACTGTGTGATAAAACTGTTCGACCTAGACGAATTGAATTGTGCAACATATAACCGTCACTTAGCATCTAAAAGCACGGTACCTTTTACCACTAAAACAGCATCATGAATTTGTCAGGGAGATAAAAGTCAGTTCAGCAATGTGTATTCCTGAAGCTATTCTCGAAGTTTTAATAGTTATGTAGCTCACTAAAGCATAAGACAACATGAGTGATTTTCATACAAACCGTTAGTGCAAAACAACCAAGTAACTAACATGAATCAATATACTTGAGGAGAGACATTAGTTATTTAGATAGATCCAGGCAGTATGCACATCTTCCCTTATTTTTCAATCAAAACAAACTTATATGAAACTCGTAATTCTGAATTATCATATAAAATTCAGCCAATTTACTGCTACAATAGTTTCTTTTATTTAGAGATGTTATGTTTGTGAGTTCTTAATGAAATCCCTTTTGTTTAAATTAAAAGAGATATTAAAAAAGTGCATTTAAAGTGACGAGAATATGTAAAAGCTATTTTAAACTGTTCAAGATTCCCATTTTAAAAAAACATAAGCGAACAATATTGTTTTCAAATAGATCGTCGTCATGCTTTACTCTAATATACAAAAATGATTTATATGAAAATGTTAAACCGATCAAGACAATTTATAAGTCAATGATCACAATGAAATGGATTGCGTAACCCACGGTAGGAGGACATATTCATATACGTTAGAGTAAAGCCTGATGATGATGTACTTGAAAACAACATGGTTGGTTCATATGCGTTGTTCTAAAACTTATTGAAGAACGGTGTTGTACTGAAGAATTGTTTCGCCTGAATAGGCGTTATTCCATGGAATACATTACTTTCATATTCACTGACAAACAAGGTCATTATAATGTTAGTTGATTGAAAGTAATGAACGTATCATTCAGTGAAGTATTCAGTTAATTTATTGGATAGAAAACACTCAGAAATATAGTAAATAGCAGTATGAGTCCAAATGATACATCAATTCCAATCGGAGAAAAGATAAATATCTTTTGTCATTTACAATTAATTAGTCATTATTTATACTCTTTTTATACAGATATAAACCAAATTTCAACTTACATTTTTCATAATTCGATATAAGCTCCAAATACACTAATTCACCTTCACCAATTTCAGTAATAATCTCATTGTTCATATTCATAACAAAAAGTTGTCGCAAATTATTTTGAACTTGATTTGTTATTCGATGGATTGGTTCGCTTAGAAATGATAAAAAATATTATGCAAATGGTTGAATGGAAGGTACCAGTTGAAAATTAAGTTTCGCAGACTTTAGAAGAGGCTGAAAATAAACGGACTAGCAGGTTCATATAAATGGTTAGTTGGATGCTTTTTCATAGTTACATTAGCCTTACTTTAGTTGTTAGTATGCGCTCAAAGCAAACAAATAGATTCATACTGCCATTAAATCACGTCCTTTACAGCCTTTTAAATTACCTCTGAGTAAATTTTTTTTTCTTGAATTGTATATATCTCGAAAATATCTGAATTTGAACTTCATTCAGTTCACTTAGTGTAATCAATGTTTCAATGGAACCTTACAAATCGACCATCGGGAATCGCTTTAATCACTTTTAAGCTCGCATATTGAAAATGTGACATAAGTTTTGATTTGCTACGTGATATAAATGCTTCAATAGTTCGATGTGAATCTTGTTGACGATTGCAGGCAAATAAACTGTTGAACGCAAGCGTTTTACGTACAAATTTCAGACAGCCATCAAGGACAACAACAATGAATGTATTCCATTCAACCAAATAGTCGAACTTGGTTTATTTCAACAAGTTAAACTTAGAAGAGAAAAATGGTATTGGAATTTGTCTATCAGTATTACTCAACTAACAGTTACTTGCCAAGTTTAATCACTCAAATTCTCGTAGCTGTTTTTGGCATAAGCGGTTATTCTAACATTTTTCATAAATTTTCTTCCCTATAGTATCATTATACATCCCTTTAAATATATACTATACTGAACCATTCTAATTACTCACTCTGTCAAATTGCAAATTCTTTTAGCCGTACATTCCCATGGTATTTTAAGAATGGTTTTGCCATCCAGATAGATTTTATTTTTTTGACGAACGTACACATTGCCAGAATATTGAAGATTTTGTGTATGAGTCTAAGACAATAAAAGCAAACAACAATTCACATACATAGAGATAAGCAGTTGCTAATCATAATATACTCAAGTTAAAAAAAGATGCCTCAAGACTTCATCGAGAAAGTGTTCCCGCACACCCAAATATCTTAGAACCATTCTGATTTTCGACTTTCTTATCAGTGGATTACTAAAGATAAGTGTGAAATATTCAAATGAATATTTAAAATAATTTTTTTCAAAGCAGACCAAAATCGGACTAATGTCAATCGACCAAGATTAGCCGAATAACTGTTGACGAGATATAATTTTGATGTATGTTGATAAGAAACCCGTTTTTGAGTAAGTTACCATATTTCAAGTATGTTACATTTAAAAATTACAATTTTCCTACATAGTAGTAACTGTAGATATTAATGTGGCACTACGTATACAATATGTAATTTAAAAGTTCAGAGAAATAGTGAATAGATAGTAAACTTAAAATAAGGTATCCTTACAGTCTATAAGTAAAACTGAAAACAGTTATATTCAGTACAAATGGGTTAGTAAATTTAAGCTCTAATGTCTTACCCTAAAAAACAATAATAAAACAAGGAGTTTCTCATTATTAACAGAGATCATTATCTTGAATACATTGCATAAACAACCAGATTAGGTCAAGTGTGATAATATATTGATTTTCTACACCAAAGTACAGGTAAAATTGATCAGAAGATTAGCTTTTAAAGAAATAAACTATGAATCTAAAGATTTTCCAGTATAGAGCCATATATTTATGAGTTTTTCCGCCACCTAACTATCAGATATGTTTATTGCATTTGTTTTACTGAATAAATATTTCATCGTGTACTGTTTACTTTTCTATCGAATTGTTTACCAGTTCAGTAAGGTAATGAAGTCAGCATATAATATTGAATAACAGAACAAAACTTTGAAAACAGAAATAAACGACCAATTAGATTTCTAGAAACTTCTTGGAATCAATTACAGCTTGTTTTGACCAGATTAGACTTATTGATTTGAACTCAATATTTGACTCTTAAAATTGAAAACATTAAATTTTGTTTATTTGTAGAACTCTTTTACAGTTCTGGAAATCGTAAAAATAACATTACCGCTTGGAAAATCAATATTCGCTTAGAATACTGTTCTGCGTGAAGAACCCGATATGAAAAGCAACACTCTTGAAGGCATGATAGATGATTGAAATTAAACTTGGAGGTACAGTGATCTGTACTATGAACTGATTCATAATAAAATATACGAACTCATACCAACCTGTCTTGATTACAATTTTATTCGAATCCCAAGAAAAAGCAAATTTAATCTAAGCTACGAAGTATTTTAAACTAGTGCGTTAAATTGTTTTTAAATGAGATGAAAATATTGAATGAAATTAACACAACTCTAATATTGTTAGTATTATAACTGGTTGTCATTAGGTGATGAATAGAATAGTTGTGAAGTAGGCATAGTTGACAAGAATTTACTGGTGACGCTTTGCAGTCATTCTACACTTTTTATTTTCTTGAGATTCACTACCACAGATCATCGCTGGGTTTGATCTCATGTGAGTTTCACGGGCTGAACAATATTTTCTTGTTAAATATTTGTTTAATGTAAAAATGCCTGTGAATATTCACCTGTGTTGTAGTCGATCAGCATGCACAGTCAACACAAGCGTTGATTAATGATTACATAAGTTAAACATATGACAGTAATTTATGTAGAACCATGATGAATAATTCACAGACAAAACTAAAGCCTTGAAGTTAATTAGCAACTTTACAAACCTTCTGAGTTCTTTTGAACCTGGATGTAGATGTTTCGAGTATTTTGTGTGTACAGTAATGTTACCAATCATACGAACAGTACTGAAATGAAGTTAGCGTAATTATCAAGTTAAATATTAGATGTCAAATAAGTCAAACTTTAGGTATTTGACAAAAATATATATTCGCTGGATGCTTTCAAAATTCATGCTAACAGTATGGCTGTGTACTAAAGTTTAGTCGAACAATAACAGAAAATTTCAGACCTTACTTGAAGTTCGTATTATCATGATTCTTAAGAATTCAAACATGCACTCAAAACACAAGGACTTCAAGTTATAAGTGTAACAATAGTAATAGTGACATGTTATTTCTAAAAAAAAACTTACAATTTCATTACAAGTTGAGTCAATTTTCAAATTAACTGTGCAAGTATTCATTGATAATTGATCGTTGGACAATGTAATGCAGTACGATTTGTCTTTGAATGGATAATTTTTTTCCGCATCCGAAGTAGTTGATATTGGTTTTAATTTTGAGCTTAATGAACAAGATTCCTGATGATCAGATAATTCGCTATACATTGACTGTACAAGTGATATGTGAATCATATTCATTTGAAGATAGTAAGGTAGTGTTTGAAATTTTCCCGAAGTATGCGGAAAGTAACAGACTGTGAGTTGTCGTTCATCGCATTTCGTTTCGACTGTAAAGAAATACCTCAATATCAATTATTGTTAAAGAAATTCAGGTGAGAGTGACTAATTCCTTACTGGTGGCCCGTGACAAACCGGTTACAATGTTTGATTGTCTAAAGAAATTATTAGCTTGTTTAATGAAATTCAATGTAGTTGGTTTGCTCAGTTTACATTGATAGTATCATATCCTACTCAATTGAGATTGTGCAGATAGGTTTAAAGGTTTATTATCAATGTTTAGCCACAAGACTAGTTGTAGGAGTTTACACACATCTTCAGATGGGCCTCGTTCTGTCATAGGTTGACAGCTTAAAAACATGTTGTTTTGAAGAGAAGACAATTATTTTAGGCGATTACAAAACTCATATTAGTAGATTGCAAAGTTGTGTAGAAAAATATTTACATCATGTTGTAATGGGATATTCTTAAAATGATTTCTAAATACATTTGAATTGATGTCCCAGTAATTCTATCATTTTTTTGGGAGAATTTTAACTACCTCGTTAGACACACTACATTCATTTCTATGGAAAATATTCTTGTGTACAAGTTTTGTAGAAATGGGAAAATGCATTGGAAAGCAATAATCCGAATGTCTGACAATGAGTACAAAGGGTTATTATTCAAGTTAATCATGCGAATAAGGAGTAGAAAATGTTAACCTCACACTATAATTAGTACTTTGTCAAAATATACAGTCATAATTTAACTGCCCTAGCAGACAAACCATCTGGATGTCGGGGTGAAACTAGGTCTGGGTTTCAGTAAGTAGATGAAGTTTTACCCCCTTATGATTATTCAAAAGTGGATTGTTTCGACAACAATCGCTGCTAAAACCGATTAAAAATAAAATTTGTTATCAAATTTTTACGTGTAGAAAATACGGTCATTATGTATCTTACTATAGAAGGACAATCTGATGTATGGTGACCAAAATGTTGTACCAAGATTTCACTACAGGTACAATATTCAATTCGTATTCTTTTGATTGTTTCTCGATATTTATATTTTGCTCGTGTGACTATTCAGTAAAGTGTAGTAAAATGTGAAAATCAGCTATTCACTCATTACTGCATCTCTAAATTTGACTAGTCACTAATAGATATGAAAAATTCTCATCAAATCCATCTATAAAGATGGACTAAAGTTTATATTTTGTATATCTGCGTTGAGCGAATGTTTATATTACAGGGAAAAGCAATAGTTTGCCCTGACTTGTCCTTAAATAATAACTTACGTTATGTCATATAACTAAAAATTGTTAGGTATACTTAGTCTGGTAAACTGAAACAACTACGATAAGCTGTGTAACTTCTTAATACCGGAAACTTAGTCTCTTTGAAATTCTGTACTTGACGTAGATAAGTTGATTTCGAAATGACTTGGAATGAATTCCTCTGAATATTAAACTGACAACGTAGATCCGAGACTAATATAAATCCAATCTCATTCAAACACTAATTTTTTTTTGTGTATGAATGTCCACAAGTATGAAAGTGTTTATTCACTTACCTCTTAGATGTTTTATATTAGTAGTGGCTATAAACTGTTGGTGATACTTTAAATGTTGAACACATAAAATCGATAAAACAGAGTACTGGAAAATCATACTATTGAAAAAGACATGAGTGTAGCTTATATCTCAGAAATTTCGGCATTCGAAACTACTGATTATGATCTTGAAGAAAAAAACTCATTAAATTCTTTGTTCAGCAACAATCTAAAAAACCAATTTCTCAACTTCACAATTCCTGGGAAAAATTCCACTGTTTAAACTTTACAAACTTGTGGATGCATGCCAGTGACTTGGCATCAAACATAGTAAAAATCAGGAAAAATTGTTATCAATATAAGTATTATATTAAACACGAAAAAATGTAGATTATTCGTTAATTCAACGAACACTTACTGTGTTTCAGTTGACAAGGAAACTTTAATTCATCCTTGTGTTGAATAAGATTCATTGAACCAGCAGTGTTTCGTGAGTTTTCATATCGATCACTTTTATAAATAAATGACCTACCAGGCGGGCATCGGCATCCATCTGGTATACCATCATTATTCTGATCATAACATGTTCCATTAATTTTCTGACAAGGTTGACAATAATCACTGACAAATTTTTTGATATTTGACAGGTTAGATGCGGATTCATTCACTACAGCAACTGAATTCAAAATGTTATTATTCAATTAAAAACCAAGTTATTTTTTTATTGAGTAATAAACAGTAACAAAATAAACACTAAATTTTAAAGATCGTCAAAATGATTGACCACTGTTGCGTATACATACTACACTGACTACACCGTTGATAATTCAAACCGACGGTTGACAGTTGTTAGATGTATATAAAGCAGCGAATAATATCAACTCAATGAAATCGAATAATTGACTCTTTTACAGTCTTAAATGTTTTGTTAGTTTCTGAAGCTATCTTCGCATAATATCATTAATATTTTCGAAATAAGCTGCTTTCAGTTTTGCCTAGAGCAAACAGGTCAACACAATACTGTTATGGTAGGCACTTATGCTGATCAAAACTGGCCACTCTAAGTAAGACAGAAATGTACATTCTGTTATTATTATTGAATGAAAATTGAAAATAAATTTATGCACCTTAGATTTCACTCGAGTATATATGCGTTTCGAAATGAATATGAAAAGTTTTAAATGATATTCGTACAGTCTAAAGCTCTCGAAGTCACAATTCGCGGTATATTTCTATCTGATGCAGTCGGTGCCATATATACTTAAAACCCTAGTCTATCAATTTGGATATTAATGTTCATACACTAAAAACTGATCATAGTCTGCAATTAGTTCGCAGTTGAGACATACTTTTTCTGAATAGAAACTAACAGTTACTTTCAGAATGAAAAATAATTCACCATAGTCTGTATAAAGTGTGCTGGCTACACGAACGTTACTCTACATTAACAGTGGTCAACATTACACTTTTTATGATAAACATTACAATAAATATTACTGAAGTTAAAAAAATACGTGAAATAAACATTTGTTGGTGTGTTTTTTGATACACGAGTGTAAAAGTTAAACTTTTGTTTTGTTGATAAAACACTTCAAAACCTACATTAATCAGGTTATCTTGAAAGTGTAAACAAACCACAGAGTTGTTTAGTCAAACTGAAGATCACAATGAAAACAAACAAAATATTCCAATGAAAATGTCGATCGGAGTTTTGAATTGAAACACTTTCAAATTTTCAAACATATCTAGTTGTTTACTAACTCTAATAATATTTTCGCTTCACTGAAAAAAATGCTAAATTTCAATAAATTAACACTTTATGGTCTTCGCTTATATCGTGATTATTGATCAGTTTATTCCAAAGTTTGTACTATTAAATTTTGTTTGTTTATCCCCAAAAATACATTACACCACGGTTTCAGATTATTATTATTATTATCTGAATGCATACCGTGGACATTTTCTATTCTTAAGTAAACAGAATTTCATGATAGTGAAATACTGTTTCACACTCATACTAGTAATCCTATAAGCAACATGTACCAGGGTATTTACTGCATGTTATTATTCGTTTACTTTAATCAACTCTTACACATAATACGATGAGAAGCATAATAAAAAGATTTTTTTTGTTTACTTTGTTTACACGCCAGAAGAGATAAGTTAGTAGGCGGTACAGATTAGAAGATTATCAAAAGGTAGGTGGTATGGGCCAGTTGTTTATAACTAGTCTTGACAATTTTTTTCAATATTTTCATTTAGAGCTATGGAGATTTGTGCTTTTACACATCTGAAATCATCAATCAATCATTGTTGGACCACCATTAGAAATCTGGAAGCACTGGATGGCCGTTTCGTCCTGGTATGGGACTCATAAGCAGTGCACATCCACAACTCCTGCACCTCGCAGGATTCGCGCACAATACTGAAGGTCCCGGGTTCAAATCCTGCGAGTCCCATACCAGGACGAAACGGCCGTCCAGTGCTTCCAGGTTTCTAATGGTGGTCTAACAATGACTGATTGATGATTTCGAATTTTTCAAGTACCGAATGTAGGTTCTACAGGGAAATGCCGAAATTAAAGTCGATACAATCTCACGAAAGTCATTTAAGTGATGAATGGTTTTTGTTTTTCGCTTATGCATTGTCTATCGTGTTACAAGTTTTAACAAGTTCATACAACACAGTATTTTGGTTGCGGTATCGACTCTACTGTTAATGTTGACTAACGATGAAAGAATAACCACTTGTTTACAAACTTCCCCTTTTTTGCAGCACTCAAATCAAGCATATTCAATTATATTTGGCTATATGGATTATGAAGAAAAAATTTGTTGTTAGTTCTTACTTGACTATTTGAGTAGATTATTTTTTTCTAAAGTAAACTACTTAAATTGTTCATTGTTTACTGTTAAAATGTGAAATATCTGCATAATAGAAACAATGATCTTCCTGCTGAATTTTGCTTCTTCACATTTGTAATGCAAATTTATTCATTTTAAAGGCACCGAATGTGGAAGTCAGTCTCGGTAAAATCAGTGAGAATAAACTTATTTAAGGCATTATAATAGTACTGTTTTTTCTAATCTACAAAATTGTGATTAACTATTGTAAGAGTTTCTATCTTGAACAGAATAAAAACTAAAACTATATTCTCTTAGGATAAAATTTACAAAATATTTTGATATATGTGTAGATTCTAGAATACAATAATGTGATCTTGTTTGAAACAAAAACTTAACATTGTTGGTCACTATGGTCAGTGAACACAAACAAACCTTACTTATGGACAAAGTTGCTAGTAGAAATTTCTACCTTATTCAAACTATATATGAACTTGCTCACGGAAAGTATTAATTCAAATTAATAGGATGAGAAACGAAGATCATATGGTCATTGTTTTTCCCAACTATTAAGTGGGATTGTAAACAAAATTTTTTTTTATTAATCAAATTTAGATTGTAAGAATTAGAGATTAAGTTGCCTGTTTGCTAATTTCATTAGTTAAATCATAGTGATGAGCAACAGTAATTATTTTTATGTTTTTCGATGTTACATGTTAACAGGTTACCAGTGGAAATTTAGCTTATGGGGCTGGGATTTTGAATCACCTAAATCTGGCAAGTAACCAGAATTAAATTAGAGTTCATGTTAGCGTTCTTCAAAATTCATCAGTTAGTTAGAAAGGTTTCTTCTATTGAACATCATGAATTCAAAACTATGAGATTTGAATCTAGTCATAAGTGTTAATGACTTGAGGAATATATATTTAACTGAGCGCTAATGCTTAATCTTTCTTCCAAACAGTAGAACATGATCTTTACTTCTTTTTTGTGAAGATTGTTGAGATTCATTGAAATCATTTAATCATTCAATCTTAGAACACCATTATTTATTTCATTTCCTCAGATCGTGACAAATATAATTAATATTATCTTGATGGTGTTGAATATGTGCAAAACCATTTGACCAAATATTTACGGAAATATTGGCATGAAATAAGCATAGTTTTTTACAAAATAGTTGATCTTAATCAAACCTTTGTTAAAAAAATACAAAAAACCTTATCAGTCATTTTCTGTACACGTTGATTTATATGAACTTGCTACACTCAACACGACACAATTCTTTAAAATGACATTTGTTTATTTGAAAATGTATAGTATATAATTTTTTTATTGTTGCGATTTACAAAGTTCAATAAATGAAAAGAAATTCTAAACTATTTCATTCTTAAAATTATATAAATATTACTAAATTTAGATTCCTATAGTTAATGATTATCATTAGTATTTTTATGAAATCTTTGTGGTATTGCAGATTATATTGAACGACCGATACATTTGATGTGATGAATTATTTAGTACATAATTTGTAAACTAATTTTATTTAACCTATGGTTGGTATTCATCATCACAAACAAAGACAAATAAATACTTTGAAAAGCCATAATGTGAAGCACTGATTTCAATGACTTGAATGTTCATTTAAAAAAAAAATACTCAACGTGCATAAACTTACAACATTCGAAATAGTTGAGGAATATCTGATAGACTGCGATTGTGTTTACTGGACAAGTGCAAACCTTTTTGTTTGATAAATCATGTGAAACACATTGTGCGGAAAGCGATCTGCAGACTGAATTTGAATGATCACAAGTTTCGCCAATATCAGCTAATTGATAAAAAAACAGGTTAAAAATGAATTTCATGTTTAGATTATAGTCCTAAATTTAATAAACAAATGTGGTGAATAAAAGCTGTGCATTAATAAGAACGAAGTAAATTCACTAGTGAATTATAATATATACACTTAGAGGTGAATAAGGGAAAACCACCCCTTGTCAATTTTTGAGCTACCGATAGTTAGGAGGTGAGCATAACCCGGAATCGATAAGGCATACTTTCCTGTCAATCACTTTCTCAAATCACTAGCGTTGAAGAACGTCATTTTGTACTGGTTCAACATCACCAGACTGAGACTGAAGACTTACCGATGCCGCTTGGTTCAGCCATGATCAAATTGAGCCCATTTAGTTTGCAGGAAAACCGATGCTGAAATATCAAAGATATCGCCAGAAACCTATCTACTTAAATATTGGGCATACTGATATTTACTATCCAAAATAGGGAATATAAAATTCAGTGAACTGATATTTCAAGTCGTTTATATTAGTAGTTACATTGTGGATGTTATTAGCAGAATAAGATTTATACTTTTGGTCAGTGAATAGTCTATCCAAGCAGTCAATATTGTAAGTTTGTGCTAGACATTTCAATAAGTAACAAAGAGCAGTTTTCGAAGAATAACAACAGAATTGTAGATTCTAACTAACTACTATCGTCAATACCTCAAGATACATGTTTATTTGGTCTACGTTAATTTTTGTCGGAAAGCTAAATACAGGTGGTGTAAGCGGTAATAAACCAATATTGAATTTCACCATTGTAAAAAGTCAATATTCTATTCAAAGATTTCTCGATCGAAGGATTAAATTCAATCCGTTACAGCAGAAAGCCACCTCACAAATTTAGAAAATCAATTAATCCACACTACCATGCATTACGATAGGTGTCCCGTGAAATTTAGGGATGTGCAGCCAACTACTTGCTAAATTTAGGTAGTATAAAATTATTTTTTAAATTATTCGAAAAAAGTCTTACGCAAATTCACGGGGCATAAATGATTTATCCCTGAGACTTCAGAACCAGTTGGTATTATTGTTGACCTAGAACTGGGATTGAATTCACAAGTACATCCAACGAAAGCAGGTTCATTTAAACTGAAAATGAATTGCAAAAAGTATTGTCATTTCGAATATGTTTTGAGTAGTATTGAACAGATAAATTGTAAATCTACTATTCCATCTCTGTATTGAAACTAATTTAAGTAACTTTCTCTTTAAATGGAAGACAGACAAGATTTATTGAAGATGAAAATCATAAGACTTTAAAACAGATGAATGAAAAGTGTTGCTTCTGACTGAAATTCTTAAGGGTTATTCACTCAGTCACTTAACTTTTCCAACTTTTAGATTTACATGTCTAGAACGCAACCAGTCTTTGAGGACCTATTTTTAAAGAATGATATGGCGCAACTGTGTGCTGCATATAATCTTATATTTCGATAAACTTAATAAAATTACCACATGAACAGGAAGCAGTATATACAGAGTGTATTACTTAAGCATTGGTTCCTTTGTCTGTTTACAAAACCTACCTATTCAAAGTACCATCCAGTTTTATTGTTATAACGTTTAAATCCCTTACACGGATTAAATCTTTGAACATTATTTCATGACAAACATGATTTGTATCACATCTCCTGCATGCAGCATAGTTTTGATGAGACAACTTAGTTCCTAAGTAAAAAATAAAAAGCAACAAACATCGAGTATAAAATCCGCTCAAAACAGTTCGCGTGACAATCGAAAATAAATTGAGGATTCACTGAGCAGCTAATTTTCAATTTATTTATTTTAATGTTAAATTCAAACTGTCATATTCGAAATTTTCATTCTTTCATAGCTATTATCATTTGCTGAATTGAGTGGATTAGCTGATGAGAACTGATTGTGAGTATATGTACTGAAATTCTTTAAAATAATTTACTTTTCATCAACTTATATTCTGAAGTAGAGTGAATTTAAGCTTGATTTTTTCCATCGCAACTGCGAAACTAAGTAGTCTATAAAAATGGAATCTCCAGGCATTCAATCAAATAGCAGGAACTATTAGTTTTTATTATCTAGTCAGACATTACTTATAGAAAACTGCATTTGTCACAATTTAAAAATCACAGTACCAAACTTCTGCCAGACTTGATAAATTCTGACCAATATACCTAATGAGAATGGATAGCAGGTGGCTGTAAATTTTTGTATCACGATAATAAGGAGCGTGTACAAACAATTCACTTGCATGATAAATTACGAAGAAAGAGATCGATAGTTGAATCGATACTTTCAGCCAAACTAGATTCAGTTACAGCTAATACAAACATACATCGATGTTGAAACCCAAGACCCTTGAGTCTTGATACAAACAATTTACACGCAGCTTATGGAATACCAGTCGTCCTCTGGTTCACATTCTCAAATCCAATCATTTCATGATTTCAAACAAGCACCCTTTAATGCCATCAGCAAATAATTAACGCACTAACAGCTTGATCGCAGCTTATCACGAAACTTTAGGAAACCTTATTTTAAAGGTAGCAGCCGATGGGTAGCTAATTTACATTTAGACTAGTGTTCTGTAGAGACTGATTTAATTTCACGAAGTCTCTTTTTTGAATCAGGTTGTAAATGATTCAAATAAATATCTTCAGAACTAAGAATAATAATCGTAATAATTTGTCAAAGGATAAGGATTTACTGGTCAATACCATGATAATATGCCAACATAAAGAATTCCCTGAAAATATTCAGATTATTTACTTTGTATTTGTTAGAGGAAGAGCAAAATGGTTTACGGTGTTAATAAGATGGAAAATAAAGCATCTGTGTGATCAGGAGACCATTTTTTTTCAGGTGAAATACTGAATTAGTTGTTTATGGATTCGAAAACGTGTTCATAATAAACAAAACAAGATTACGTTTTCAATAGGCTTTTTTGCACTCTATGTATATTTTGAAGTTCATTGTGTCAACCACAAGGATAAGTTGATGTTAACTTATTTTGGTACATCTATATTTTATTTTAAAGATTGGTTGTGTTTCGATTCGATCAAATAAAAATGATGCATAACTGTAAACAAACACAAATTTCAGTTTTATACTTGAATCAATTTTATTGTTTCTAATGTTGATGATTAGTGATGACAAATTAATTTTCAAATTATTGATAACTTTTGATAAACAACCTTACAAGGATTCTGATAATGTTCCATTATTTACAATTTCCCTTCTTAAAAATCATTACAGCATATCTCTGACCGTATTTTATCAATTTTGTTTATACAAATATTCAACATAAATGCCACTAGTCTCCAATATAATGGAAACTAGATTCACTGTCTAATTTTTATGCCAAACATGCGAAAGAATTACACCATTTTTATGTTATACTCCAAGTAAGGAAATAGGTTTATTTAATGGGAATCCAACAGAATTCAGTACAAATGTAATTGTAAATGGACAGGCGAGCAAGCTTGGGATGCGGCTTTCCCCTTCGAAATGCAAAATCTTCCTTCAAGATTGGATTGCATCGTCACTTGAACTGGTGATAGGGAGTGAAGCAGTCGAGTGTGTAGACCGCTCCACTTACCTCGAGATTAGCATCAGTGCTGATGGTCTGGTGATCTTAGCACCGATACAGAGAGCTCGATTGGCTTTTGCCAACTCGCGTCACCTATGACGTAGGCGAGATATCCGTTTGCTAACCAAAGGACGAGTGTACTGCGCAGCAGTTCGCTCCGTCCTACTATACAGTTGCGAAACATGGCCGGTGAGAGTAGAGGAGATTCGTAGATTGCTTGTCTTCAATCACAGGTGTCTCCGAAGCGTTGCTCATATATCCTAGGACAAGCGAGTAAGCATTGCTGTTGTTAGAAAACGAGTACTATGTAGGGATGGCAGATCAATAGGTGAAGTATTGAAACTTCATCAGTTGAGATGGTTGGGACTTGTCTTACGTATGCCTAACCACCGACTACCGCGACGAGCTATGTTTTGTGGTGTAGGAGTAGGTTGGAAGATAGTGAGGGGAGTCTGAACCAAAACATGGCACAAATCAATGAAGTCATTGACAAGTGGACTGAGTCATGTTGGTAGGTGTAGGCTACCTGGTTGGGGTCCGCGAGATGTAAGTCACCAATGGTTAGAGACCTTGAATGACATGGCTCGAAATCGTTTGCAATGGTGCAGGTGCATCCGCTCTTTGTGTTCTCTCAGATTCTAACCTTCAGAATTACTCATCATCTCTACGATTCTCTTTCTAACCTTATCTCACGGAACTATACTTCTCGAATCATATCTTCACTACTTAATCTTCTCCAATACTGCTAATACTTCTGTGACCGCTACTATTATTGAATTTGAACTGGCAATTGCGTCACTGTGCTTATGGGGTATGGCTACTTGAACGAAGTTCTGCATTGTATCTGTCCGTCTGTCTATAAATGGACAGAAAATACATCCGAACTTCTAGATGATAATTAAAATATAAAAAAATAAATGCAATAAATAATCATTTCCGAAATTGCCGTTAGTTCCTAACAATCGATAAACAGAGATGATAGGTGGTCCTTATTTTACGCCATCTGTCTCCAAATTGAAAACCTAACACTATAATTCAGACTAGTCATGAACTCAGCCAATTTTAAACTGTGTTCAAACATTTGGTCCATTTTTATTCAATTCAGAGAATTGTACTTGGTTATGTCACTTATGGGGATAACAAAGTTCATCTTTATTATAGGTTTCCGCAAGTAACTAAAAACGCCTGTCTGGCTTTTTGAATAACTATCTAGATATCATTACACAACAAGACTGTTATTTTAAAGAAATTAGTATTGTCTTTTATAAGTGTTGGTTACCACTGACAGATATATTTTCTTCTCGGAATCCATACTTACACATGTGATAAAAATAAAGTGTAATTTGACGAATGATAGACATTAGACGTGAGCTATACAAGTGACTGTGTCAACACATGAAGACCATTACAGCAAGTACGCTAACATTCTGCGCTTAGCTAATCGTTTGCCTAACAGAAAATTGATGAGCTGTCAGACACCTTGAAATTTTTGAATAAAATACTATCATAGTACTAAAAAATTAGTTTAAAAGATTAAACCTTAAAATTGCTTACTGCAAGCGTGTAAGTGTGTAACATAAACTGTATTTCCAGGACATATGCATCTTCCAGCTCCTGGATGGCATACACTGAAATCCACATGTACGCAATCTGAATCGATTCGACATGGAAGGTCAGTTAAAACTAAATGGGGAAAAGATATACAGTGAAAGGGATTAACATCAGTGATTTGATATAAAATTGAATAAAAGGCAATTCCTGTATCTCATACTATCGTACATATCTGATAACTGTGTAAGTGAGTTCTTACATGAGAATCCGAGTTTTGATAGAGAAAATTTAGTCTTCAGTTAAAAAGCCGTAAAGTCACAATTCTAAACTGTTCATAGATGGTATATCATGCGACTGGCAAACGAAACGCATGTATCATATACTTTGTTTTATTAAAACGATAAATTAACCAAGCATTTAAATTCGAAAATTTCAACTTGTCTAGTCTTCAATGCCAATATCAAAAAGTACTGTGGATAGAACGATTTATATGAAATAGTTAAACATCTACATACTAAGAGTTCTTATTGTATTATATCCTACTTAATTTAGTGTTTAAGGTTCCGTTCAAACGATTAAGTCAGCTAAGGAAGTGGAGGTCTATCAGAAATCAACGGTGTATTTCAAATATTACCCAAGATTGAGAGAAAAAGTATATGAATAACAACTTCTTCTTTTCAATCATTGCCTCTAAAACAAGTAACCATTATTATAACCTAAATAATTCTAACGGTTATATTCCACTACACATATAGGTCTTAAAGTAAAAGCAATTAACTATTTCAAATTGCCAGTATAATTCTGTAAACATGTAGAACTGAGTGGAAGGACAAATCGCATTTGATCTTAGTAAAAAAAAATGGTAACTAGGGTTATATCTATCATTAAAATTTTTATCATCTACGAACCAGCTTCGACTAAATTTCCGAACCTATTTATTTGCCGTGTACATATTCCGACAGGGAGAAGCTGAAATTCCAACATTTTCGAATAATAATATCAACATCATACTCGTTGTCACAAGCTAGTAGATGTGTGGAAACAATAGCTCAGCAGATAACGTTTGCCAACTGAGAATGCACGCGTTTGAGTCTCAATCAGTACTTGGATGAGATTAGAACTAGTAGGCGAATCATAAATAGGGCGAAACGCCTGTCTTTGATCCCCTTGACGGCCTTGTCTTACCATGATTTAAGTGTTTCGTTTTCTCTAATCAGTGATTTATAGTAGGATTCCAATTTTGTTGGTAGCCATCATTTTTCACATGTTTAATCAAGTTCGATAAAACAAACTTATAAGTTTAAGATTTTTACAGTAGGTTAATAGTTGTAACCTTATTCGCTGAACTTAACTACTCAATTTTATAAAAGAAGCCAAATGCATAAAAAAAAGGCTTAATTATTTACGGCATAACAACAAAACATAATTTGGCCTTCAAATGTACATTGCATATTCCCAAACCAAAACAGTGGGATACAGATTAGTGAATAAGGCAAAAGGAGTATGAACTCATATGAATAATACATTGAGATAATATTTTTCGAACATGTAGTGAAATACTTCAGTAAGCATAATTTCCTGTAGTACTAAAAAACTAAAATTACAAGCAGGTCTATGCTAAATAACACCAACACGATCTGTAAAGCTTGAAAAGTTATCAACGAATTATAGCTATTTTTCTTAGTAACAGTTACGTAATAAATTTAATGAATTCAACTTGGAAAACATTAGAGTTGAATAATTAAACATACGCTAGTCTGATACAGAAACCTGACAGTCACTAATTAACTTGACTAGAAGCATCGAATTAACGTCACAATATTCATCTGGCCTCAGTGTCGTATCGAATTCGTTGACATGATTTATGGCGAACTAGTAAGAACTTACTTCCATGATTTATATTTACTGATTATGAATCTTCCTTCTGATGTTTACGACTGCAACTGACCAGTCTTTTTTGGCATATATGCATCGTGTGCAGATTGTTTAGACATTGCCAACAAATTATAAGCATTTTTAAGCAGACATGAATGATTGAGGTGGTGTCTCGTTCTTCGAGCTGGATATCCAGCTCAAATTTTCTCGGCCATCGCAGGGATGGATGGTAGCTAGTAGTGGGACCCAAGATATGCGTTTCGTCCTATTTGGGAATCGTTTGCAGGATATACACCTGTTATTCCAGGGTTGATATTCACTTCTATGATTAAAAGAAAACTTAGTTCATCCTCTCGCTAATCGAACAACATACAGAGTCACGTAAATTACGTTTCTTTCTTAAAATTTAAAACAGTCCTTTATGACTTTATTAGCTGATGGCATAGTTACCAATGTATCGATGACTGTGTGCCTAAAAGCTGGATCGAAATCGAGCACAAGAATATGAATACGCAGCCCATTTTAAAAATTATTGCTCTACAAAAAGCAGTGGAGTAAACTTACTCAAACGTTTTAGACATTTTTCTTTACAGTACTGGATCATCATTTCTTGCTATTTTACCCACTATTCATAGCCATAAAGGATATTATTTATGTGCTGTCAGCACCTATCATCAAGTTATTGCGGAACTGTTTGCTTAATCATATAAATAAAGAAATCATAGATGGAATAATGCTCCAATAGTATAAAAGTGGCTTGATTATTACTATAGCAATAAATATCAAGTTTAACAGCAGATAAATATTTGAAAATGATAAAAATCTACAAACCGAAACAAAGATAAACAATCGAATCAACTTACGTGGCCGACAGACTATTTCGTCATTTTCTCTAATTGCCACAAAGCCTAGTCGACAAAAGCATTCATTTTTAATCCTATTACAAATACTGTTCCGAACATAAGATTCACAATAATCAGCTGAGTGATTTTGGCAGTTGCCTAGAAAGGAAAGATGATCACTTGTACAATAAGTAATTGTACAAAGTATTATTATTATTATTATGATTATTATGTAGTCATACAGTGATCTGATTAAAACCAGCATAGAAATATTTCTTGATCAGCTTTCAGCTGTATCGAATATTTATCAGAAATATGAAGCACAGGAAGGTGGAGAAATGATAGACAATATATTTTTATTTCATGGTGAACATATATAATAATACATTTGTAATAATGAAGTTTTCAGTGGCGGTGTCAGTTTCAAAAATAAAACAGTACTGAAATTTTTGCCCCTTTTATAGTTAGAAAATAACAACCTCCTATTGACTTTCAAATAAACTACAAAACTTATTCACTTGCAAAACATAATTGCCCTAATATTTCTGCAATTATTTTTATTATTTCCCAGCAAATTTTAGCCAGTCCACCACCTAATGTTTTATCCGTTGTAAGGCATACTATAGTATGCATATGTAATAACATTTGTGTATATGGTTGAGTATCATATATAATTGAGTACTAATTACTCGAGGTTATCATCCATATCTGTAAACTCAAACTAGTGTCTACTTTGCCAGTGTTTCTCTTTATGATAGCAATCTAGTTCTTTTGGTGCTTTTCTTTGTTTGTTGCATACCTATGTATACATAAACTAAATAGCTTTGATCATAATCTATGATTACTATTATTATTATTATTATTATTATTATTATTATTGTTATTATTGTAACTGTTATTACTGGAACTGATAGTATTGATAGATCTATTCACTCTCAGTTACTTTACTTATACTCCAAAAGGAGGTTGATTTGTTTCAATGAAGTATATAACTTAAAACAAAAGATTGAATGACTACGAATTGTTTTGATCATACAAAAGAAAACGTTTCAGTGTTCTTTCACTAAACAATTTTTGCTTCTGTGGATACTGTTTGCTATAAAATTCACGGATATATATATATGTATATATATATATATATATATATATAAATTTTTACTTCTCGCTCATAAACATTAGTATCCTAAGGTCTGAAAAAAAGTTTCCAGTGTATGCTACAATTAATTAAATCATAACTATTGAGGCAGTTCATAGAAACTTGTTCAATTTTCATCGCTGGAGAAACGATAGAAAAACCGAGCTGGCACTAGAAAGTGGCTTTTTTTCAATTCGCACAATATAGTAACATACAGCTAACATTTAATTCTCGCTGCTGTATAACTTAAAAAATTTCATTGACTTCAGATTTGAGTTCAACCTTAAGCATAACATCTGACGCGTGCTATATACAGATAAGAAGGGCTAAAGAATTGATATTCATTCTACATTAAAGATAAAAGTAACCGAGTAACATTTAAAATCTGTATGTGAACTACCATATTGAATTATCGTGTTCTTTATAGACTTGAAAATGTTTTTGTGTCTAAATTATGAAAGATTATCAAAAGTTGTGTAACATATCTTGGCTAAGCACTAGCAAAGTATGAACTTTGCAGACCTATTTTTCCATCTCTTAAAATGAAACTCAGGTAAGCTGTCTTTTAGTTTGTGAGAGTCATATAGTGTCAGTGTGTGGTGGCCAATTTCTACGTGTTTTTAATCTTCGTAATTAGCTCGTCCAGACAATCTTTATTAAATAGCGTCTGACGGTTGATAAATCAGAAGGTAAACTCGAAGTATTGAATACGTTTATTTTGGCACATCACAAAAATGGGATAGCAGACCACAAGTAGACCGGGCAGGCACACTAACGAGTGAATTAATAAGATTAAAATGTTCGTATATGTACATAGGGAAATGTCTGAGTCATCGTGATATTTAAGAGATCAATACTAAAGCGAATAGGATGCGTATGCGCGTAGACGTTAAGCAGTGCTCAGTCATACCAGCTCATACAAACCACACAATAATAAAAGTCAATGGTACATATAAGTTATTGTTTTACAAATGACTTGGTTAAGTAAATTAATCGAAAGGGCTTAACCAAATTAAATGTAAGCGAACTCGAATATATGTGGAGGCACTACAGGTGCATGCCTAACCGACGTGTTAGTGTTTGAAGAATTCTACTTCGTCACCTGATTGTAAAAAACGGTAATACTAAGAACGTAGCCATTACGCTACTTGAATATTATGAACTAAAATTTATTTATTCGATAAAAGTTGTCAGTCATTTCACCAGTTGACTAAAATGAAAACGTTAAACATTAAACGTATGGTCGATCAGTCGTTATGTGAAGCATGAAAAAAGTCATACTTATTTTTAAAGAGGCTTTAAAAGTTTTTTTTAAATTTCAAATCTTTGGACATACAGTTGATAAAAATAGGTGACGAATATATATATATATATATATATATATATATATATATATATACCAATCTAAGCATAAATTACGTGAAACTTGCCTATGTCAAGGTTTTGTTGTTTCTGGATTGAATGGGCTTGCTGAATCATAGTATTACCATCATCATGATCATCAATAATCCATGAAGTAGCGGATTGAATCAAAGTTGAATACTGAACATTGAACTTCAAAATGATGATACTAAGTAAAATGTGTACATGTACCAATTTCAAAGTTAACATTTTAAGAGTAAACATAAATATTTTTACAGAAGGAATTATTCATTTCCAGATCATTTTAGACAGGAAGCAAAAGATAAAAGTCTAGTGGACATAAACAATGAATGATAAAGAGAATGAATAAGATTGTGTAGTAAGCACTCGGAGTATAAGCTTTTTATAGGAAGCCAATAATAAATATTAATAGAGTAAGTTTTCATTAAAACTAATCAAAATATGTTTTAGGCAGAATTGGTAGATGAGACCAAAAGAAACAAAAAAATAACTGAATTATTATTCTAATATGAACTTGCCAATAACAATGACATTATTTATCGACAATCTGCCTTATGGTGTATACATGAGATGTTTTCTCAACATATAAAAATTCTGAAAAAACAATATGTGTTGCACAAACCTGCATGGATAATTCTTAAAACAAACAGATATCAAAATGAAATTGTTATGGATACGTTAGGTTTGAATAAAGAGGGTGGTTGTAACTCGTTCTTTGCCTAAAACCATGTGAAATTATTTCGTAAAATAACAGAAAATGTTATTTATATCACCTTATGTATTCTCTGAAAGAATTTATTTGTTTCTTATTGAGTCATTCCGTAATGATTGACTGATGGATAAAATTTTTAATCATTGTGGTTAAAATTATTGGATAAGAATTTAGACATTCACTAGAAAGACTTTATCTGCAGGCAAATAATGTGATTGAGTTATATCCACTTCCTGAATTCCAGTCATAATTCTAAATATTCACTTAATAAGAGTAAGATAATGATTGTGGGGCCTGGTTGAGTGATTTTCCGGGTGGGCATCCAGATAGTTAAATCTCATTTAATTATGTGGCAACTGGGAACAATATTTATTAATTAAAATGAAACCAGGACTTCTTTTCATTGCATAGTTATTAAACTGTTGATTGTGTAGCTTGAATTTAGCATCCTTTAACCCTACAAATGTCCATAATTTCGTTTATTTCCAGTCGTTGATTTGTGAATTTACTAATAACTACACTATGTCGATATTTTTCTGATCATGCATACATTAACTCACAAACACCACAGAAACTCCAAAGTTCTATAAACGATAATGTTTTATTCGCATAACACTATCGAATATTGGATTTCTGAATCGATTGTATTTTTAATGGATAACAGTGAAATCAGTACCTCATGTTGTATTCTACAACTGACTTATTGGTTGAATGTACCCGAATTGTCGTATGAATGTTAATTTTGAGACAGGAACTACGGTGTTCATCGTTCCAAACATTAGCGTGTTATCTTTAAGGCTACCCAATCGCTGTAAACAATAACTAACTTGAATCCCCTTTATTTCGCAATTTCTCTTCATCTGCTTACCAACATCAATATTTGACAATATTTACTCTCGATTTACACATGAAACTGTATTATGAGCTTATTTCATAGGAAATACAGCCATTTTATCTGCATATAGCTTTTTTGTATACTTTATGGAATTACCCCACTTAATAAAATGATGTTTTGTTTTAAACGGAATGTTATTCTGAAATCAGCGTGCACTGACTTTTGACGATACTAGTTATCATATTAGTGGGATTCATCAGATAAAAGGTTTGTACAAAAAGATTTATCTTTATGAGAACTTTGCTCCCTCTTGTCTTCTTGTGTAGAAACAAATGGTACAGACTTCACAGTCTAGATTAAACATATTTCGTAGCCGATTTGGTTGCTTGTTTAACGTTTGGAATGTTACTGACGAGTAAACATTCAGACTATCAACTTTTTACTTCACCCAATTAGGGTTGAAAAAAGTATACATCGATCGAGCCACTATATCAGATAGCTTCAAGCCTATCACGACAGACGATATCCCACATTTTAAAAGAAAGTTATGCTTATAAATGTCGTTCACAAAAGTAAATACATTAACAGGAATTATAAGGCGGATAAAATCTTGATCTTTCAGAAATGACTACTTTCCTGTTAAGAACTTTATGGTTTAGTTTTACAGACAAACAATTCATGGGACGATCTTCTGTTTAGATTCACCTTAACGTCCATCTAAGGGTTTACTTGCAGCGGTGCAAATAAGTTACCCAAATAGTATACACCGTTTATTTCGTTATCGTAATTTGTAGCATTATCCTGTTATAATATCATGTCAAGATTGTGAGTCAACGAACAGAAGAGCACTAGAAATGTTTTTTAATTTACATCAAACAAGGTATATTTAACTGGATGCTTATTTTCTGTTTATAAAACAGATGTTTACTCAGGTATTTGCCAAATGATAGATCAAGATATGGCTTCCTTTTCCAAAAAGTGAAGCGACCTATTCACGGAAAAACATGAAGGGAAGGATGTTTGTGAGTGTACAGTTAATTCTTATTTCGGCCAGTTAATAAGTTTCCTTCTCACCTATTTAGCCAGTTGCGTTCGAGTACATAAAGCTTATTTCACGATATCGAAATCGGATACCACAAAATACAACAGTTTCTCTCAAAACAAATGAGCTAAAACAACGAAGGAATAATATTAAGTTGACCTTGAAAATCTTATCCTACTTTGCGGTAGCTGTAACAGATCATATCTGAAACCAGTAGCTGATAGCAAGTATACCAAATGAAAAAATCAATATTCTTTGTTGAAAATCCCAAATCTACTAATACTCGTTTCATTGCCTGCATACGGCTACTACTTCATTGTCATAAATAATCGATTATTGATTTCTCAGGATCTCAATTATTTGTATTTAACCTTCTAAATATTTCGTGCTTCAGCTTCTTTGCTTCTAAACTTAACAACCATTATCTGGCAGAGTGTTCACTTAATAACTCGAAAACATAAAGCTATTCATTCATTTTTAATAGTCACCATAATTATCCTACTTTCAATGTATTTACATCCATGAAAAAGTCTAGATATTTAATTCGTAGCAATATTTATTCTCAACTCCGGCCTGAAGCCTTTTCAAGGATACTTTCTGTCTCAAGTCTAGATAAAATAGAAGGGTTTGGAATCCACGTTAGTAAACCCATGCCGCAGAAAAATTTCTCACCATTGAAACTCTGCCCTAGGAGTTGAAGAGTTTTTATTTAGGAGTTACAACACCTTAAAGAGAAAGTTGAATTTCTTCGGAGGTAACGAGGCCCCTTCTTATAGCCAGAGAAAACACTAACTTAAGTACATGGAATGTCCTCACAATGTAGAAGACCAGGAAGATCATTTAAAGCGCGATGGGAATAAAAAGAGACATCTAGGAGGAATTTGGAATGAGGGAAACCCATTGGACATAAGCTGGACAGAAAAGATGAGCTTCAGGAGAAACGCCATCATTCACAGGCCATGAAGGAAATACCTAACACACACAAGGAATTGCACTGATGCTGTCCAAAGAAGCACAGAAAGCATTTACATGGTGAGAATTGAATGAAACTAGGGTCGTCAAAGCATTCTGCAAAAAAAATGGGGTTACTATGAATGTCATCCAGTGCTACGTGAAACGAAGACGATAAAGATCAGTTTTATGAGACTAAAGTCGGTTGTAGAGAAATGCTTTGGAAAGGAATGGACCATCCGGATAGGAGACCTAAACGTCAAGATTGAAAAGACAGGATATCATGAGACGACATGAACTGGTAGAAATGAACAAAAACAATGAGATTTCCAAATCTACATGCTTTTGGAAAAATAGTTATAGGTGGCACCATACTGGCCTATACTGCATACAGTGATACATATTACATATTACTACTAAGTAGGTAGTCACTTTGCTGAAACCTGTCTCAATCTATTCAATATGGAAAAATGCTTTGATAGACCCAAAATAAATTCCATCCGAACTCTGCTGATATGTTAGTTAGTTACAGATAGTTGACAAAAAACCCCCAACCCAAGATCTGTTTAGTCGGTCGACTCTCCAGATATATATATAATATTTTGAATCCCTTTGAAAGTTAGCCATTAATGAAAGGAACTTCATGGTATCAGGTTTCTCAGCTGATCGCCCTCTAAAGAAAATTTCACAACTCTCACTAAATAACTAATTCCCAATTGTTAAGGAAGGCATAATTCCTCATAATATGTAAGACTGAATTTCACCGAAAACTGCCTTAAATAAAATAAAAACAAATTTATAATGACTACTATTTTACATTCTGTATTTTTATAGGGAGACAATGTGATTGTAATAAAATTCTGTGCAAATAATTAAAGGTTTACGCTAAAAAGTGTTAGTCCTATAATACAAGATTCCAGTAATATAAAACAAACATTTCTCAATAATGACATGAGGCCATCGTAAGAATAGAAGTCTTAAAACTAACCCCAAGTTGGCAAATAAATAGCCTTCATCAGCATCAGAGGTGTTACAGAAAACGTTACCTGTATGTACGAATATCTGCAGAAAAAAAGAAGAAAAATACAATTACGAAACGCCATTATTGTATGAAAAAAATAATCACACAAACTTTCAAAATCTAAGCACATGTTTTATACTGCCTTAAAGAACAAGGATAAATCACTAGGTACATTTTAATTGACATTTAGTTATGATCGTAAACCGCTGGAAGTGTGCATCTGTGACCATCGAAAATTGCTAGAAATGCTTGAGTCAAATCAAATTAATGGAGGTAGATTAGATATGAACAACAACAATTTGGTACTTTTAACGATAAAATTCATTCGTCGTCGTCAACCTTTCAAAACCAGAGAGATTGCAATCTGTTGCATAGTTGGCGGCCAGTGATACATGCAGTATCGACGTTTGTCTTAAAATGATGAAGAAAATTTTTAGTTCCGGTGAATTATTGTGGTGGAGTTTCGTTCTCTGATCTGCACAACCTAAACATCCAGCTCAAAGAAAGAAACTCCATCACAATTTTTGTGCATCGATTAGCTTGGTACCAGATTGGATGAACATAATTTCTCATGAGAAGAACAATAAGAAATTGATCATCTTGCAAGTGATTACCTCCATTTATTTCCATAGTATTTTATGAAATTATAAAGGGTGAAAATTAGTACTGTTAAGTGTTCGGTTGTAGCAACTATGAGTTAGACATAACTGGAGGCAAACAAAATATGTAAGGGTGCGAAAACGATTTTAAATGAGATGCAACATTAACGTAAAGAAGGGTTGATTTTATTTATATAAAGGAAATAAATGAGCAAATATTTCAAGAGTTAAAATTTTAGAATTTGCTATATTTAAAATGTGAGGTGTAAATGTACCTGACTTGATTTCTTGATCTGTTTCCAAAAAATCAATATCTTCAAGGTCGTTGTCAACGTGGTATTTCAGCATATCTAACGCCTCTGTAAAAAACTAATGAAAATGAAATTGTTTAGTGTTCAACATTTCAATTGTGCTTGTTTAACTACATGAACTGAATCTTATCCGGCTTCAAGGAGAAAATCTGATAAGTTTATATTTTCCGGTAACTTATTTCCATCGAACCGAATGGTTGGAAGTCAAATAACTAATTTATGTACTGATTCATCGTAAATAGAAAGTTAGAAAACATTCAGTTAACTAATGATCCTGACAGGCTGTTGACGGTTTAAGCTAAGTTGAGATAATTATCCAGTAATCGCTGTTTTCACAAATTAGTTTCTTTTTAGATTATAACGAATTATTTTTGAAATAGAAAAGCATATTTTATTATTTTATTCGTTATAAAACGAATTGACACTAAACTAAAGCAGTGATGTGAAACAGTTGATGTAACACTACAATGAACTAGTAATCTGTTGTATTAATTTCTTTGACATGTTTTGAGCCAAGTCATTTCGAATGTGCGTAGATTATGGCGGTGTAAACACTATTGCACTGAAATTTTACTGCTTGAGTTAGTGAGTTGTAGTTATTGTTGGAGGAACTAGAAAGGAAAAATATGCATTTTCTTGCTCATTTAATGGCATTCAAATTTCGATCACATAAATTTATCGCATGTACTCACTATATCTTCACTGATCATATCGTGATATGCAGCCAAAGGTAAGCATTCGCCAAGTTTATTGGTAGCATCATTAACTGCACAGACTCGATTCAACAATGCGTCACAAACTAAGGCTAATCGACAAATATAACAAACAGTAAACTCAATACATTATATATATATATATATATATATATATATTTTAAAAATGTGTATTTTTACTTGTTGACAGCAAATTAAAACAAGTCACTGAATCTCGTGGCATATAATTGAGTAATAAAATTGTTGATCCTGATAAATATTTGTATGCATGTAGTGTACATAATAAAACCATCTAGAATAATTCAGTGAAACAAGTGTGAAAATTACTGTCGTTCGAAATGCCTGAAATTATCAGTTGATTAGACGGGAAACTATTCAAACCTAGTCTGTTTTCAGATTCTGAAGTTAGTGACCTTAAACTATGTTCATTATTTCGGCATGTGAACGAATTAAATTTATAGATAGAAAATATCCCTAGTTGCACTTACAGTAATAAATTTAGAAGCGGTTATCTTATCAACCTGTTAATCTAAATTTAGGGGCCAATAACGGAATTACAGCAAATTACATCACTGCAGCGAGGTGCGCCCGTGAAAAATGATTATATCTGTTTTAGAACACACTATTACTTAAGAAACATACTTAAACGTATGAGCAGAGACGGACAGTGGCTAGCAGTAGAATCCGATATGAGCGTTTCAACCTATTTGGGACTCGTTAGCTGGATGTACCTGCATCCGATAGATGATGCTCACTCCGGGACTCGAACCCAGTACCATAAGCTTCGGGTGCCATTATCCAGCTAGCTAGCGAGTTCAGATAGCTACTGACTTGTGTAATAAACTTATTGAAATTTCTACAAGATAAAAACCAAATTCCGTCTGACTAATAATATCAGTCAGATATCTTCACCTTGTGTCAGAACACACCATAAGCTGCATCCCTTCACATTTCTCCCAAACAGTTTTTAAGACAATAGAAAAATAGCGAGCATAATAGGTTCTTAAATAACATTCATACGGCTCAACTAAATAATAACTACCGTAATTTTAGGACAGACTCGTTAGTTGATAAACTATCTGCACGTTCATAAACACAGACCTGTGATATCGTTATCATTAAAATAGGATTTTTGGCGAATTCGATAATTCTTTAGGCACTATTAATAACTAATTGCAAAGATTCATTAAATGTTCCAAGTTTGGAAGCTTTAGGGCTACCTTGTAGTGTAACATGAAAATGTTAAAATAAAACCATATCCATTAATCACATCAATTAAATGTAATTGCACAAACATTAATTGACAAGAACGCTCAAATGAACTTAAGCTAGTTAAAGTTATTCAATATCATTGACAATCATAAATGATAAAACCACCACCTCAAATTACACTTAACTGACTTTTTAATAGTTTCTCTTCAATTGGATTGTTAGTATATATACCAGTAACTGGACCAGGGATTGAAAGTGATAACAACGAGTCGATAGCCATAGAGACGAGTATATCACTGGATTTTTTTCTTGCAACCTTATCAATCTGTAATAGGTTTGTACTAGTATTTAGGTAACCATATCATCAATTTAACGATCAATAAAACCAAAAAACGTTGCCTCATCTATTACACATAATTGTACAATCTTAAATGTTTTGATTTCACTTGACAATATTCATGCTGCTATGAAATAATTATCAGAAGGAAAAAGCCATGGTAGCAGATAAGCCCAAAGGTTCGAAATTTATTCCTAGCAATATAAAATATTAATCCATTCTAACAACAATTGTGATATTGATGTCTTCATCATGATACTAATTTGAGAATCGACGAAAACTACAGTGAGATGCGTACATAACTTGAGTCAGAGGTAAATTATTCATTAAAAAAGTGAAGTTATAGTTCAGTGATCGATCTCGTCACATATCACAGACAAAATATAGATTTCATTTGAAACAACTAACAAGGATACAAACGCATATATGCGATTAATGATTCACAATTTACAAGTAGGAGCAAAACTTCCTGATATAGAAGTTTCAAATCAGAGGGGAATTTTACTAGGATTAAGGGTTCTAACTTGAAGAAACAAGATTCTCAGTAAAAAATTATCTTACATTAGTGCAATACTCGTTCAGAGAATTTCAAGTCTTTATATTTAGTTTCATAATAATCTACCCTGTTAATGATCTATAATACCACTTAGGAACTTATAAACATTTCGTAAATGAATCTGTGTTTAGACTTGTTCATACACTGCCTGTACTACGTACCTTTCCTGTTTATTGATCAAACAAAAACCAATGAAGCACAAAAGAAATCCAGACAGACAAATAACAAAATGCTTGAAAATATTTCTAAAGAAAAATATAGATTTATTAGATCATTTTTAGGATTCCGTTTATATCAACAAATCCTGCCATTATTCGAATTTCACACGTAGTTTAAAAGAGTACAGGCAACCGCTTGTTTACTGAAATCCGAAAAAACTTTCAACAGACACTAATCACAAATAATAGTGATTTATACTTTAAGTAACTAGCTTATTTTCGGTGTTTGACAAAACTGAATTGAGAGTGAATCAGAAGACAGTGATAGAAACATTTAAACAAAGACAGCAATAAGACAAAAGATTTTTTTGGGCATGAGATTGTTTTATTGCTATTATTTCTTTCCTACAAATAGTAAGGAAATTTTATTTGATTACCAAATTACCATTTTTAGCCGATTCACACGCGAGATATTACTCTGAAGACTATATTCACTGGTAACCAATTCTTTGATCATTTTACTCAACGTTTTTTCAAAAATAATTATAAAAACAAGTTCTTCTCCCATTGTATATTTAATCTGAAACAAAAATGTTCATCTGAATTCATTCTAAAGTGAAATGGAATGAAGGATTAAAACTAAAGTATGACAGAATTTACCAACAATAATAATGCCATTGAAATCAATACCTGAAGAAACTGATATGATCTGTAATCGAGATACCTTTATAGCAGCTGACTTACTTTGTACAAAAAGTGGTTTAAAGTATCGTAACTGAATGTATTTCTTTCATTTCCTATATCAGTTGAACGAAAACTAGTTTATCCTTATAACAGGTGTGTTATATAAGACTGTCTTCCAAGTTCTTAAAGAATCATGTCTTGAGGTCAGTTATCTGCTAGTCAATTTATCTTTAAAAGAAACTATGCCTTACATCTGTGACTAAAATGATCCACACTACGTAAACGCCAGTTTGCAAAATCATTATATGAGAGCGCTATTGTTACGCTTTTTTTAGCGTCCAGTTGAATGTTCACTTACCTGGCATTCTATATTCCTTTGAAATCTACTTACTTGGTCAAACTTCCCTTAAACTTTAAAATCATTAATCTTAAGTAATTAAGAGAATTTCCGATGCAAAAAACTGCAACTAAAACCTAGAACTGAGATCTGTTTTCGTGTCCGTAGAGTATTAAGACTCTCATTCGGTCAACTCTAAATGTAATTATCAGCCCAGCCACTCGGGTGAATTGAGATACATAGGTCGTCGCCTCAAATTCATTGACTATGAGAACGCGTTTGATAGTGTGGACAGGAAAACACTATGGAAGCTTCTTCGATATTACGGCGTGTCTAAGAAGATAGTCAACATCATACGGAATTCTTACGATGGATTAAACTGCAGAATCGTGCACGGAGGATAGTTAACAGACTCGTTCGAGGAGAAGACCGGTGTCAGGCGACGTTACTTTCTCTCACCCTTTCTGTTTCTGCTCGTGATTGGCTGGATCATGAAGATATCAACATCTGGAGAGAAGCATAAGATACGGGGATAGCCAGGATGCAACTGGACGATCCAGACTTCTCAGATAATCTAGCCCTCCTATCCCACACGCAAGAAGAAATCCAAATGAAGGCGATCAGTGTAGCAGCAGTTTCTGCAGCAGTAGGTCTCAACGCACATATAGGAAAAAGCAAGATTCTCCGATATAACACAACATACGCCAACCGAATCATACTTGATGGCGATGCCTTCGAGGACGTAAAAACCTGTACATATCTAGGCAGCACTGTTTACGAGCAAGGTGGGTCTGATGCAGATGTGAGGGCGTGGATTGGCAAAGCGAGGGCGGCATTTCTACAACTGAACAACATCTGGAACTCAAAACAACTGTCAATAAACACCAAAGTCACAATTTTCAATACAAATTTCAAGAGAGTTCTACTATTTCGAGCTATGAGCGAGCGACCTTAAGTAGTTGTCCTTCGTGAAAAACAATGAGCAGATAGTTATAGGTGTCGACCAATCGAATTTTAGGTCAACATGACAAGCTGTTAATCAATTATGGAATAATTCTAGCAGCACACTTCTCTTTGAAGCACGTACTGATGATGCTCTTCAGAAGAACAATCAGAGCTGTACAAACAAACCATCCAGTTTAGAGAGCACGACACTTGAAATGAAGTCGAGTTTTTTCGCACGATTCAGGTTATCATGGGTCGGTTTTACAGTATTATGACCTACTTCTACGAGGATAGCACATTTCGACAGATTGCATAAATACAAAACATTCTGCAAAAGCTTCAATTAAATATATATGTACAACTTCACTAGATGAACAGATATCATTAGTTAGTGCAGCGTTCATTCTTCTGTTGCACCGTGTAAGAGAAACGGAACTAACAAATTTGACTAAGTTGGAAAAATTACCAAAATTATTGAGTATAACTAAAATCGTTTTTAGTAAATTTGGTTATTTCTAGCGGCTAAATGAAACTATCAGGTTACACAGAAATCGAATTGAATACTAGCAAGAAAAAATACAATGAACTTACAATTCTTGGTACGGTAAACTTTATTAGTTCCAGTAAAATACTTTCAAGAATGTCAAATGCCAAGGCGTTTTTTACAGCTCTATCTGCTGAAGTTGTACACCAAGTCTTTTTCTGATTTATTTTTTCATTAAATTTGTGTACAGTCGGTTTGTGTAACTCGCCTGTTTGACTGAATTCTTCTGGTTGGATAACTTTGTTTAATTCAGACATGACTAATTCTGGTATAATATACTGAGTGGCACCATTTCTTAATTCCTTGATTTTGTTTAAAGATATAAAAGAGTAATAATGAATATTGTTTATTCCTCTTCAAAATAGATATATATATATATATATATATATTTTCAGTTCGGTTTGCGAATAGACAAGGTAACACTTATACAACTTTAGAAGTAACGAACACATATGGCTTCTGTACGATAATTTTGGTGATGATGTTTCATAATTATTTTATTCACTAAATTGATCTTAAATGCTTGTTGGCTATTCGGCCCTACTTATTTGTGCAAGATAAAAATGTAAACTACAGATTTTAGTACTTTTTTTTGTTCTATCTACTTCAGATACAACTCAATACGCAGACTATCAGTTTATAGATAAGAGCCTGTTTAAATTATGAGTATGTAAAAGTCACTTTAAAGATTTGACTCGATTTTTTATAGGCAACCTAGGCACGTTTTTATATCTTTAGTCTTGAAGCTACGTTTAACTGACTGAACTCACCAAATAATTATTGCCGAGCTCAGCATACAAAATTTTAGACATTTAACCTGTTGTCGTTTTACTGCACAGATTATATCTCGTACATTATGAACTTTGTTGTAATACATCTAAAGTTATACAAACTTTTAGAAGGCGGACATCCAGAGCACAAGCAGTGTTGTAGGCTTATTCCTCCCAGGAAACCAAATATATATGTACATAAGTTTCTATAATTCTTATTATTTTACACATCAAATGTAAGATAATAACCATCGACTAGGTTTAATCCAATAGATTGGTCATTTCTTTAAAGAAAGGCGTTTGGCTTAATGTTTTACAAATATTTTATGTAAACGTTGAATCCACTCATTTATTTGAATAGTGTTTTTATTCAGTGTAATCAGGATAAAATAATCAAATATTTAATTGTACCAAGAAAAAAAAATAGACTATCTATTACTTCGTCAAAAACGAAAACATCCAGGTTTGAAGAATTAGAATGTATATCTTTGTAAATTTCCTTTACACAATCCAACAGTAATCGTGGGACTAATTCATCTTTCACCGTATTATGGATCAATTCAAGCCCGTATTGTAAGATTGCACTTCTTCCCAAATTGGTATTCCACTGTTCTAAACCATTCGACATTTCCGGACCTTTAGAAAACAGTACAATGAATATATCACCAAAAATCGTTAAATTTTTCCTTTTTCATGTAGAATTCTTCAACGTTGAATAACTTGGGTTGATTTATTACATAATAACTTGGGTTGATTTATTACATATTTTAGCTCAGTCTTATCGCAAAAGGCCTTAAAAACAATTGAGGCTGTGTGACTATCAAGTTGCAGTGCAAATAAGATCAGGTAATTATCTGGGCAACAGTCACAACGAACTACATCTACATGTGAGTAGTAAATAGAAGCACTCACCTTACCCAACTGAAGCGAACTAAAAATCATAAAACATGATGGTAAGATTGTAAGTACACTAGCAGAAGTAAAGACTAGCAGAATAGCATGGGAAATGTTCCAAAGTACAAAGTAGGTTACAAACTGAGAAAAAAAATTATCGAAATGAGTCACCGAAGCCATAAAGTCGAAATTACGTGAGCAAACAACTTAAATACACAATTAGTAGGCAAGGGGTAAAAAATGGCTGAAGGAAGTGAAACATAGGGCATGAAGTATCAATACAATCCCCTTTTACATCTTCATTGGCCAAGTAAGAAATAGGGATGTCATGAACGTTTTTCTAAAGGACTGAATGTAGCCTCTAGCTTAAATGCTTATGGCTTCAACTATTTATAAGTGAGATAAAAACCCACTGGGAAAACTTAAAGGTATACGATAGATTGCTCAGTTTCCTTAAGTCTGGTCTATCACTCGAACATGATAATCAAGTGCGGTAAAACATAGCTACCCATCGACCATGTTTGACCGCTCCTAGTTAAAAACAATATTTTTTGCTTGTATTTATTAGACGGAGATTTTCGGTGGAATTCATCAAAACTCATCAAACACCAACAGGTCAACCACCTGTAATAAACGACGCAAATCTTTTTCCAAACTTTAGAATCGTCCACTGCTCGAAGCTCTTCACGATAAGTTGCTTCTCTCTTTTTAACGATGGTTTTGACATTTGTAGTAACTACTACACAAGATAGGAATGTTTACACTTCTCGTTCTTAAGAAATAAATAAATCATTAAAGAACACAATGCCGTGACTGTTTCCAGATGCAGAAACTAACACACGAAACAGAATAATATTCAAGTAAGCTCCTTCTCTGCTTTTTAGGAACTACAGCCAATAATAAATCAGAATTTAAGCGAAAGTTCATCAGTGGTTGGTAACGAAATTCCGATATAATGAAGAGTAGTTCGAACAAGGCGTACATTTCAACCAGTTGTATTGAGCTTCCACAGTCCAAGATAATTTTTTTCACCAAACCTTCGAATTCTGTCGAAACTGTTGTTACTTCATTCGTGACTGTTCATTCCTCAAGTGACTTGAAAATACTCCTGCTGTCAGGACTTCTATTTTAAGCCACCCTCTCCTTCTCTTACTTAAAAGGTTATTCATGCCCTCTTTCTATTGTAGTATTCTCCCTGGTGACTTTATCTAATGTTCTTACGACTGATATCGATTTTGGTATCCTGATATGTTCTTCTATGATCCCATATCAAACTCTTCTGTTATAAAAAAATTCAGGTGCAATCTTATGGTGAATTTATATTATTTCTCATCTATAATAAATCTTCAGCACGTCAACTTGGCGTGCGGAAACAATCATAACATCTGAGAGAAAACTAATCTAAGACCAAGTTTCAAGATTCGGTTTCTTTTCTCTCAACGAACGCTTTGAAAAGTGTTTTAACGGCTTCATTAAGTCGCTGTAACAGCATCTTACTACCGAAATGACGAACAGTTATTCACGTTTTCCACATGCTTTAGATAGTTCTCGGAAAATCAAAATGAAACCAGAGTTTGGGTATATCGGTGCAATGTTCTTCACTGCATTAATCGATGTCTAGGCACTGTCTTAGTAATTATGTAAATCCACCCGGAGCCCCTCTTGGGTTGCTGCCGGTCCCAAGCCCGGATAAAGGAAGATTGGGCATAAGTGAGCGACCCCATACCGTAGAAAACTCTCTAAAAAACGTTAACCAGAAAAAATTATCCAAACAGTTTAAACTCTGCCCTAGGAGTTATGAGGTCTTTATTTAGAAGGATTATAACGTCTCATTATGAAAATAGATGATCTGACCCTCCTATCGCACATTCAACAACAAATGCAAGAGAAGACGAACAGTGTAGCAGCAGCCTCAGCAGCAACTGGTCTCTACTTACATAAAGGGTAAAGCAAGATTATCCAATACAACACTACATGTGCCAACCAAATCACTCTTGATGGAGATGCCTCGGAGGACGTAAAAACCTTTACATATCTGGACAGCATCATCGACAGTCAAGGTAGATTGGATGCAGATGTGAAGGTGCGGATCGGCAAATCAAGGGCCGCATTTCTACAATTGAACAACATCTGGAACTCAAAATAACTGTCAACAAACACTAAAGTCACAATTCACAATACAAATATCAAGAGAGTTCTGCTGTATGGGGCGGAAACTTGGAGATCTACGAAAGCCATCATCCAGCAGATACAAGTATTCATTAACAGTTGTCTACGCGAAATACTTCGGATCCGTTGGCCAGACACCATCAGCAACAACCTACTGTGGGATAGAACAAAACAAATTCCAGAGTGACAGGAAGTCAGAAAGAAGAGTTGGAAGTGGACAGGACACATATTGAGGTAAGCACCCAACTGCGTCAGAAGTCAAGTCCTCACTTCGAACCCTCAGAAACAAAGGAGAAGGGAAAGACAAAGAAACACACTACGCTGAGAAACGGAGAAAGATATGAGAAGAATTAACAGAAACTGGACAGGACGTAGAACTTCGTATGTACGTACATAAGTTCAAGTAGCCATACCACATTAGCACGGAGACTCAATTGTCAGTTCAAATCCCATAATGGCAGAGATTGTAGAAGTATTAGCGGTAACGGAGAAGATTAGGGTACGAAGATATTATTCAAGAAGTATAATTCAGTGAGATAAGTTTAGGAGAAGTAATAAGAAATTCAGAATATTAGAATTTCATAGAACACAAAGATTGGATGCACCTGTGCCATTGTAAACGATTTTGAGCCATGTCATTCAAGGTCTCTAACCATTGGTTACTATCGTCTCGCTGACCCCGACCAGGTAGTCTACACCTACTAACATGACTCAATCCAGCTGTCAGTGACTTCATGGATTTGCGCCATGTTTTGGTTTGACCGCCCTCAGGTTTCTTCCAGTCTATTCGTACACCGCAGAACATAGCTCGACAAGGCAGTTGGTGGTTAGGCATACGTAACAGATGTCTCAACCAGCTCAAATGATGAAGATACACTACTTCACCTATTGATCTGCCATCCCTACATAGTACTCGTTTTCCAACAACAGCATTGCTTACTTGCCTGTTCCAGGATAAACGGGCAATGCTCCGAAGACATCTCTAATCGTACACTAATAACTCTTACCGGCCTTGTTTCGCATCCACAAAGTAGGACGGAGCAAAATGCAAACGGATAGCTCGCCTAAGCCTTAAGTGGCGAAGTTGGCATAAGCCAATCGAGCCTTCTGTACCTGCAGTGAGACTCCCCAAATAAGTGAAGCGGTTGACACGCTCAACTACTTCAAACCCTATCACTAGTCCATGTGCCGTCGCAAGCCAATCTTGAAGCAACATTTTGCATTTCGAGTGGGAAAACCTCATCCCGAACATGCTTGCATTGTTGCTTAGGGTAACCAGAAGACTGTGCATTTTGTCACTGTCTTCATCGAATAGGATTATGTCATCAGCATACTCTAAGTCAGCAAGCGTGTCTCCTGGTAAAAGGTCAGACGACGACAATTTTAACCATAAAAGCATATTTACGACAAAGTTAAACAAGAATGAAGATAATGGATATCCCTGACGGACACCACTTGAAGTAACAAATTCCGATGACAGATTGCCATTAGCTGTCACTCGACCAGTGGCGTTTGAGTAGAGAGCTTGTATAAGGTCAAGGTACTTCTTTGGTACACCTTTCAATGACATACATTGCCACAGAACCTCAAGATCCATCGAATCAAATGCCGCCTTAAGGTCCAGAAAACAACTATTGTAGGACGCCTTAATGTGTGTCTGTATTCCAGGACCTGTCGTAGTGTGAAGATGTGGTCTATACAGCCACGTCCAGGTCGAAAACCAGCCTGGTTTTCTCTAGTCTGCTCTTCATACGCTCTAGTTAGGCAGTTTAGAAACTATATTAGTTAGACTGATTCCCATGTGATTGTCACAAGAAGACTTATCCTTTCTTATAGATTGGGACAATCAGCGATTGAGACCTATCAGATGGGAATACGCCCAGGAGTATGGCTATCGGACTCTATTCTTCTCTCTTCTTCAGGTTTCTAATAGCTTTCTCAACTTCACAAATACTCGGAGGACTTACATCGACTTGCCATTCAGGACGACTGGAAGTCATGGGCAACCGAAGTGTCGCTGAAAGCTGATTTAAGTGATCCCTTAAGTGTTCTGCCCATTGATCCTATTTCCTGGGCTGGGAGTGAATGATACGACCATCATTTCCTGAGATAGTCTCACTCACAGTGGGATTCCTAATACAAGTTTCCTTGAAATGCGGAACAGTTGTCTAATGCTACCTATCGCCACTGCCTTTTCCATCGCTCTTGCTTCGGCAACCCACCACTGTTCGCAATCATCGCGTGGGCTTTTTATCATCAGAGTCCTATCTAAGGAAGCCTGTTGCCGTATTCGACACAAGGTTCGAATAATAAAAGCTCCAATATGTTGTTTAGAGAGGGGTTTCAGGAGACGAGGAATAATGTTTCATGAACTCGAATCGTTTGCATTAGCGGTGCGTGGTGATAAAAGAATGTGAGAAGGGTGAGTCGTGGAGATAAGAGAGATTAGGGGGTGTAGGAAAGATTCGATTGTGAACAATTTGGTCTCGTAAGCTATTGCGGGAATGAGAGCTGATGTAAATTCCAGGCTGACGGCGCCGTGAAAGGGTGTTTTCCGAGGGAACTGAAACGGACGTTGGATTAGTGTTAGTCTTAACGACCTGAGACCAAGGGACAACCGCTTAAGGTCGCTTACACGCGGCCTTCTCATCAGAAGTTTTTAAAGTGTTGGCTAGCATGGTAGAACCTACACGAGCATATGTTCCACTCAGCATAGCTCGGTTGGGTCATCACGATAGGCAAGCCCAACCACCACGTCAAGGTAGCAGCTACGGTCGGGGCTAACATCTTATATCCCCACTTATACTATCCAAGGGCTCGTACATTTTAGTTCATCATACACGACGATTGTTAACGGATCCGTCACTAGAATGCCAGCATATCTCGAAAATTCAAACAACTTAGTTTTAACTGATGGCATGCCGAATAATTGAGTTTTCTTCGGGTCTGATAGCATGCACAGTCGTTAGCCAACACTATTGACGATGAGTTTTCGGGCTACCATGTTAGCTATCCTTAATACTGAAGTATATAACCGACTATAACAGAATAAAGATTATGTTGAAAGCCATGAGCGTGATACACTTCGGACAGCATCCACCTTCATACTCCTTAATAATTCTTTTAATTGTGATACCTCATATTTATATAAAATAACTGAATTCCCTATGAGCAAATCCTGTAATAATTCAAAAATAATGGACTACTAGTCATCAGAGGTTTTTTTAAAACAACCAGTATATATTATAGTTGCGGTTTGAACATATGATCACGGTCATTGGGCCCACGGGTTGTTTAAGTAACTGAGAGGCTGATAAGATCGGTTAATGTTCTTGACGATCACATCCCCATTCAGTTCATTTAACAGAGGATGCAATCTAAACATTTTGAGATACCTATAATAATCGATGACTACACTCAAGAATATCTGTGATGTGAATTAAAGTCGAACAGAGTCAATGATTTTTGCTATACAATCAAGTGATCAACAAGATACTTCCTTCTTCGGAAAATATCATAATCTCAGCAATTTTATGAGTAAGAAACTAGTACAATATCGCATAAGGAAAATAAAGGTTGTAAAGTACTCAGTACTGAGATTATTCAAGCAAGATAAATAAAGTTGACACTGTGTATAGTATGCACCGTTTGATTCGGGCTATATTAATGTTCTTGCTGATCAGAGAATAATTGCTGAGCAATATTTGCATAAATCACTAGAGTCTACAAGAATACATTTTGAAGAATAATTAGTCCTGGAAATTAGCGCTATGACGATTGACAAAATCATAGTAAACTAACAAAAATGAAGATGATTAAGTTTGGCAGCGACCATATGCATCCTTAAGTAAGTAAATAACTCTATATATAACGCAGACTCGTTTATACCCTACCGGATAAGAAATAACCTCTAGTTCGGTTCGTAATTTCGCCGTTTGGCTTAGCGACTAATCAATATACAATATATCCAATATCCAATGTCTTTTTCGCGAGCTAGTGTAAACCAATTGATTTCTTTGCGCTCGATTCTTGTTCTTTCGGTACGGTTCCAGGTGTTCGGTAATGGCCAATGGATGGAGGTCTAGCCACTCGACTGTCTAATTCTAGTCAGTTGGCCGTTGGTTATGAGTTTGTATGTCTCGGGATTTGAATGAAACGTTTGTTTCAGGGCAGTAGGGTTTCTGGATACCAGCAACCTTCACATCACCAGACCGGAGATCAGTTAGTTAAAATGTTGAGAGTGATAAGGATAATAAGGATGAAATTCTAATGCTAATATGAATAAAATTTCAGAACTGAGTAATATATAGATGAATTTAGTTTAATTGGTAGTGAAGACTGTGAGAGAGTACCGAAGTGCAAACAAGGGGGAGGGAACAGAGATGAGAGGCGAGATAGATTAAATAAGTGATCTGAGGAGATGGCAATGATAACATCTAGCATTGTCCACACTGTCCCTTTCGCGCGTTCCACTATCATGGAATAGGTCAGTGATAACGGTAAATCGGATAGTATTTTTTATGAACAAAGCTATTCCTGCTAACTATCGGCAACTATCAACGTTCATTTTTTAAAATCGATTAACCTACTATCTTGTTGCTAGTTTATTATTTACGGTCTGTCCGTAATTAAACTGCCTAGGCTCACTCATTTATAGTTATTATTATCCACTTATTGGTTTGATGCGGTTCAGCAATGAGTGCGTTTAAATTTCCTTGATATAAAAACATTCTTTACCTTAATATCAGACTGGTGGTCGTGTCTTATCTTAGTTTCAGTTCTTCTCCTCGCTTCTTCACACTGCTAAAGAGTAAAAAGTCTTCACGCAAAAACTCCTGACTTCGTTAATTTATTTTCATTATTTAGTAATAAGTCCTTTCAAATACTACATTTAGCAGTATCAAAATTAATGTACAAAATGACGGGGCTACTATCATGATCAGCTTTCGACTTACTAATTACGGTTAGAAAGACTGGTTTTTAATGATATCTGATTGTTCTATACTTTCAATTGTGTCAAATCACTAATTATAATTTTGTCCTCAAAGAACGGCATGCTACGGGAAGTATGCCAGTTTATAGGCCAGATCAATTTGTTACAAACGCTGTCACATTTACTGTAAAAGTTAGCGGTTAGCGAGAATAAATCAGTCGGTTTATACTAGTTCATGAAAAAGATATTGGATAGTGAAAGTTAGTTTAGAAATAAGAGTTGTTTCTGATAGGACATTGACACTGTGTCACTAAGAGGAACAGTCTGATACAGCCAAACTCGCTCAGTGAGTACAAATAGGGAAGGTACATAGCAGAGTTATTGACTGGTGTGTATTGTTCATGAGTTAATTTGTTTGTGAGTGTCAAATGGAAAGCGCTTGATAAAAGCTGTGACCTGGATTTGCTCTTACAAAAGATGCATTTTGCGTTCAGGCACCATGGGTCTACCACTGCGAATAGGGTAGCGAGAAGGGACAAAGGAATGAGAGAAAAAACAACAACGAGGCAGAACTCTGCTTAACCCTTCATGGTAGGGTAGACAATGCAGTGGTAAGTCAAGACAAAATTCTTAATGACCACTTAGTAAATTGTAGCAGTATAGCCCACAAATTAAGGAGTATGGCAATGAAGAAAGAAGGGTTGCGGAGAGTGTAAAGTGGTTAGAACAGAAGTTGAAGTAAGAAGCTGAACGTCTATAAATGGAAATAATAATAATAATCGAAAGTTCAGTAAGAAAAGTAAAGTTTGCTAAAACATTGATAGTTACGTTTTTCAATGACAAACGCTTTCTTATCAAATGCCAAATTCTAAGCCATACGTAAGCGCCTGAGTAAGTATGTTGCGGGTTGTCTTGTCAAGAGTATAAGAGCGACCTTAGTATCACTGTTTAGTCGTCCCATCGATCGAAAAGAACCGAAAGCAAACAAAATACTCCGCCCCCAAAAAGCGGGCGGATTGAAATCATCTCCCACACCATCAATGTTTGCTGGTCAGTAACTCCAACCTCCCTCCTTTTGTGTTAGGCTGATGTAAAATGATGTTAAGATAATATTTTGTTTACTACTTGATGCTCTATGTTCCACATTCTGTTGAGAAACAATATTTCTGCTCGTTCCTTTCACAAGCTTTTTGGTTGTCACAACTTATGAACTATATGTTAGGCATCAATAAAATTCACTTGACAGTTACGAAGGAAAGTACGGGTTATCGAACATGCGATAAGCATTTGGGATGTGGTGGTGGTGATGTGCTTAACGAAGTAAGCAGAAAAGTTGAGAAGTATGATGGTTAAAAGTGGGGCAAAAGATAACAAGATGGGGTCAACAGTAAATCAACAGAGTCCATGTGTGAACATTAAAACTTATGATAGGCAATTTGAAACTCAGAATGTTATGGATGTAGATAAAGTTTTGAACAGAACAGTAGATTGCGTTCTAATCAGCCAGTTTACAGTTTAAAATTTGTCGGTCGACCCAGTGAGTAGCCTTTTTAAAAAAAACCAGAGAGATTTGTATTCAGCTAGAAAAATATAATGCCACTGTAGCGAATCGAATAATATACTGCTTCGCTGGATAACAAATGTTAATCCCGTTACTCTATGAATCAAATAAAAGACGATTCTAGAGGAAGAAGTATATTTAACGCTAGCCTCGTGATATCGACATTATATCAAGGCCATAGGGCGTACAAACGGCTAACATCCACGCAGGAGGCGCGCGAAGGGGAGAAATGGTAATAACACACTTGGCGCGTGAGAGGTGGTCTTTAATACAGATAAACAGGAGGAGTACATTATAACAATTATTGTCAGAACTAAGTACAATAATAAATGTTATTATTTCAGCAATTATGTTTTCTTCGTAAAAGTATACCACTACACTACTTCCAAAGACAAAAAATATAATGGAGCTCTGAATTCAGTATCATTTTAACGCGTGCAGTGCTAATAATGTGGAAGAAGTTTGCGAGTGAGTTCAAGCGTCCAGATGAATCAGGGCAGCCAATAGCTTCGTTAAGAAGCTGTACAAACTCATGTTGTCTAATGCCATGGGCATTATTGAGGGCAGGCTGTTTCGTATCAGTGCATTCTTAGGGAGGAAGACATCTTCTCGACAGTTTGATTTATACTTCTCAAGTTTGAACGTATATACTTAATCTCGAAGTTTATATATTCGTAGGCCTTATATAAGGACTACACTGTAAGAGAAGTTTATGAGCTTGTGCCTGAGCTAAAAGTAGAGGATTAAGTTGGACTCAAGGCTTCTTTTCCATGGTTCATCAAGTTCAAGTTCTTGACAGCAAGTGGGATAGTCAGAGTGAGTCAAGATTTAGTATTCTTAGATTGAAAATCCTTCCTTCAACCTTCAGCAAGTCATATAGGCGTGCGTTGGAATATAAGAATGAGCAGTATTTAGCAATAGGCTTTACTCATGTTTTGTAAATAACTGTTCTAGATTCTTTATGGGAGAAGTTACGAAAATGTAACCAACGATTTTTCTCATTCGGGAAGCCTTGATTGAAATATGTTCAAAGAAGTTTGGGTTGTGTGAGTAATGAACTCCTTCATCAGTTACGCATGTAAACTCGTGCTGTATTTTGATATCAAAAGGGCTTTCGAAAAGGTAACTCACAATCGCTTAGTCAACAGACTACATTCCATCAGGATTTCTGACCACCTATTACAACGGATTAGATTTATCAAAATTAACTCTACTAGATTTATATATATATATATATATATATATATATATATATATAACTCCGCCAGTAGAACCTTCGGGTCAACTGCCGGTCCCAATCCCGGGCAAAGGAGGAGGGTTGTACATTGGGTTTGCGACACCGTTCCGTCAAAAACTAACATGCGAAAAAACGCTAACCAGAAAAAATAATTCAAACAATTTTCACTCTTCCTTGGGAGTTGGAAGAAGAATTATGACGTCGCGTGATGAAAGCCGAATTCCCTCGGAAGTCAGGGGGGACCGATGACACTTCTGACAACCAGAGCAACCATTCTTTTAGGTACATGGAACGTTCGTACATTGTGGGAGACTGGAAGACTATTTCAAGTTGCGGCAGAAATGAAATGATACAACCTCGAGGTGCTCGGCAACAGTGAAACGAATTGGACACAGGTGGGACAACTGAGACTAGCTGCAGGGGAACTGCTGTTGTGCTCTGGTCATGAAGAAGAAATAGCTTCACATACAAAACGAGTTGCACCGATGCTGTCCAAAAGGCACTGATAGGATGGGAATCTCATGGACCCAGGATCATCAAAGCATCCTTCAAAGCAAAGAAAGGGGACATTACAATGAACGTCATCCAATAATATGTGTAGAATCTTTTTTGAAGCGTCTGATTGTAACAGACAGTCTACTGAGTTGCATGATAACGATGCTATTGACGTGCATATGTCTTGTGTTTCTGAAACGGAACATGGAGAACAACAAGTGAGTTTATCGGCTTTGGATTGTGACACTAATGCTGTTCTTTCATGTAGCGAGATGCGTTATACAACAATGGAAGAGTTTCATTCTACGGATGCTAGTGCAGCCAGAAACGACGCGACTTGTCTGACGCAACGGAATCATGATGACGATGATAATAATCTGGATGTCACTGATGTGACAAATAAGTTGCCGACGATGACGAATGCTGATCAAACCTCCTCTGTATCAGGAGATGGAGAGGTAAATATTGGTCCCATTTTATGCCACTTAATGTCTTCGAGAGACGAGGAAATATCGAAATTGGAGATCCCACCCTTGCTTATTATCTATGGGTCAAGAACTTCTGTTGATAAGTCAGCATCACTGACTTCATTGTATCTGCCGATCGGAGCAAGTGGTGGTGGAATGACGACTCATCCTCATGATATGGAATGTAGTTCCCGGATAGGATATGACCAGTTTTACGACGTGTTGTACATGTTCGTGTGGGTTAATTGGGTAAG